AGTGTTTCAAAAATAATTTTGGCACTTTAATTCCAGGATCTAATTCAATTTTTATTAATAATTAGTGAAGCTCATTAAAATTTTCTATTAGTGAATTTTAAACATTAATATAAAGAAGAAATCAATTTAAATTACTTTTTTTAATTTGTATTTATTTCTTCCCACAGAAACAAACTAAACTTGGTTTTTTCCAAAGATTAACCGAAATATCATGAGACTTGAGACTCTAAATAAACCGTCTGCTTACATAAATAAAAAAAAAAACAATCTCATAGTGTGTCCGGAACAAACAGTTCCGAGTGAAGCTATTTTCAAATAAAAAAACTAAATACTAAAGGCCAGTTTTTTAATCTAAAATAAAATTTTATCCAAGATATGATTATTATTGTCAGTATATCTATGTCCACAATCTATATAGATATATTTTAGCATTAAATAAAATTTTATCCCGGATTGAAAATCTGGCCCTAAAACCACTGAAATTAATCCATGAACGATAATTATTAAAATACACATTATATAATTTATTTTCGCTCAGTCTAGTTTATTGAAGCATTGAAATTAATGAACCTTAAAATTGACCAATTATAGCGATTTATATTTGGACCAATTAGATTTTTATTCACTTAACTCTAAATAAATATATATCATAATATTATTTCTCTCGTTCCATTTACCAATTTCATGAATAAAATGATTTCCAATAATAAAATAATAATACATTATATTATTTGAGCCATCATATTTAATCTTTATCACGCACAACTTGACATTAGTAGTGCGTGCGACTGACATTTTGTTATATATACTTCAATTGCACACTTTACTTCCAAATTATTTTCTATTAAATCATTAAACATAATTACTTTGTTTGCTACAAATGGGGCTGGCTGAAGAAAATTATTTTCTTCTTTTTTTTTTATAAAAAAATAAACAAAATCACTTATCAATAAATTACAATTAAATTACTATCTTATAAAGAACATATTTATTAACTTATAATTACAATCAATAAAAAATACTTTCAATCATCTTCTTTATGTCTACAGTATATCTCTGCTAATATATATATATATATATATATATATATATATATATATATATATGAGCAGCAAGCCATTACTCAAGCTATACAATTTACTGCTGAACACTTGAACACTTTGAAAAAAAAAAAAAAAAAAATTAAACAATATATATATAAATTATTGTATACTCAGTGATCGAACATCTGTCAGGTGAATTTGACACAAACCTGCTGATAAATTCTCTCAATAATATTTCGATTACTGTAAATTAACTCGACGAAGAAAAAAAAATAAAGAAGAAATAAAAAAATAATAAATTAATTATTAAATAAAATAAAATAAAAAATATGCGAAATAATGTGTGTAGAATTAGGCGTTTTAATTAAAATTGTACTGTAAAATAAAAATAATATATACTGCGAGTAACTAGAAGAATAAATGTGAGTTTAATGACTTATTATTATAATTATTAATTATAAATAAATAAAATGAGTTAAAGTTAAAACAATAAATACGCGTTATGTATATATTGTTGTGTTATTGCGTAGAATAATATATAACAGAAAAAAAAAAAAGCGAGAAAATATATACTGACTTTAATTTTCTTACGCTCATCTTTTCTCCCGTCCGAGAGTCCAGATTGTTGCTACATACACACATATATATATATTATAAATAAATAAATATAAATATATATTTAATAAATTAAAAATTGTTAAATTGTAAATTAGCGGTTGCGTTAATTTTTTAATTAAATATTTATTGAAGATAATTTTTTTTGTTAACGCCAGCTAATTGTGCTTCTGTATTAATTGTATTGATATAATTAGTTTAAGTATTTATTCCTTGTACAAATTATAATTGTTTTGAGTGCCCGAGTTGTCCGATACAACGAATTATTGCTATGTAAGTCGGTTTATTTATTTAAAAGTATGTGATGAGATTTTAAAGAAGAAATGAGAGTGAAAAAGTAAAACGCTTGAGAATAAATAAATTAAAAAAAAAAAGTTTTAAAATAAAAGTATGTTAAATTGTTTAAGTCGGTACTTTAATAATTGATACGATTAAAAACTAAAACATTAAGAACTATTATTAGAATTCCTTTGCTTGTTCTTTGCAAACCCGATATACTATTTATCAAACGCTTTGACCTTTATCAAAAGTACTCTACATATTTATATGTATATTAAATGACGCGAGAAAAGCTACGGTAATTGTTTAATTATATGCAAAGAGTGAGAAAAGGAATAAATGTGTTATTGATAATTGTTGATGTAGAATGACGCAGAGAATCCGTCGATCCAGACTAGGGAACCGGGTTCGAAGCCAACGTTTATAAATTAATAAAATTATTCTGGCTCGGTGTCGCTCGGAACGACTGTCAACATCAATACTTAATAATTAATTTAGCAGATGTTTGATAATTTTAATTATTTTTTTTAACAAGTAAATTTTGGAAAAAAATTGGCATGCAGAAAATTTAAAAAATGCAATTTTTTTTTAATAATTTTTTGGAAGAAATTTGTTTGTTAAATATTATTAAATTACTGCAAATTTTAATGTCATATATATATATATGTAAATTAATTTAACAGATATTTAATAATTATTTTAACAAATAAATTATAGAAAAAAAATTGATAAAAAATTAAAAATGAATTTTTTTTTTAATAATTTTTAGGAAGAAATTTATTTGTAAAATAAAATTAAAAAATTATTAAATTACTGCTAATTTTAATGACATACATAATAAAAATTAATTTAATAATTTTTTTAACAAATAAATTATAGAAAAAAAATTGACAAGAAATTTTAAAAAATTAAAAATGTAATTTTTTAAAAATAATTTTTAGGAAGAAATTTGTTTATTAAATAAAATTAAAAAATTGTCTTGATTGCTAATATTAATGTCATACATAATAAAAATTAATTTAGCAAATATTTAATAATTTTTTGAACACATAAATTATGGCAAAAAAAATGAAATGAAGAAATTTAAAAAAATTAAAAAAGCAATTTTTTGGAAGAAATTTATTTGTTAATTAAAATTTAAAAAATGTCAAGTGACAGAAGTGAAATTGGAATCTAAAAAAAAAAATTAATATAACTCCGAGCGGCATTTTAGTCAGATAAATTTAACTAAATAAATAAAAAAAATGTAATTACTTGGATAGTGCAAAAAATGAAATATACATTAATTAAATGTTGTTTACAATATCTTTATTTTTATTCACTTACCCTTCGCTGATTAATTATAAAATGAAAGATAAGCAAATACTACTGCCCCGCGGCGTTTTATAGGTTAGGTAAATGTTTACAAGTGTTTTAATGAGACCGTAACTAAACATTAAAATTTTCATTTCCTCGTTTTTCATCATTACTTTATGTTTCACTTTAATGAGGGTTATTTATTTGTTTTCAAATGAAGTTAATTAACAGCTGATTGAATGTCAGCATTCAGTTCTGACATTTATAACCTTAAAATTTTTTTAGTAAGTATTGATTTTTAAATAATTGAAGAATTAATAGTGAAAAGAAGAATATTATTGCAATTTTGAAATAATAGTGATTGATAATAAAAATACTTACAATCGTTGCCAACAAACAATTGAGTGAAATGAGACAATTAAATTTGGAAGTGAAGATAGTTATTCAAAATGGCGGAGTACAGTTCTGTCAAATGAAAATTAACTTAGAAGATATTTAATAATTTTCGGAATTTTTTTAACTAATAAATTATAAAAAAACGAAATTTTAAAAAAATTGACATGAAGAAAATAAAAAAAAATTAAAAATGCATTTTTTTAAAAATAATTTTTTAAGACAAATTTGTTTGTTAAAAAAAATCAAAAAATTAAAAAGTGACAGCTAAATTTAATGTCATTATTGTCAGCTCTGAAATATAACCAAATTTCATATGAAAATTAACTTAACCGACATTTAAGAATTAAAAAAAATTTTTTTATTGAAAAAATGACTACAAAAAAAAAGAAAAAAAAATTTTTTAAAAACATTTTTTTGTTCTAATTTAATTATTGAAAAAAAAATCAAAAAATTGAAAACGTCGGCTAACTTTAGTACCATAATTTTATAAGTAATTAAAAAAAAAAAAAAAAAAACAATGTTGTTATAATATTGATTAATAATAAAAATGATGACTTGATGACAGTTGTTGTCAATAAACAATTAAGTGAAGTGAGATAAATAAATTTAAAAATCAAACTAGTTATTCAAAATGGCGAATTTCTAGGTCTTGTGTTCCAGTGTTGCTTAAAACGTCATAAAAAGTGTTTATTGTTTTTATTTAACAGATCGAATTTTTATTATCCTTTGTGGAGTTTCGGTAGAAGGTCACCCAACAAATAAATCATCACCAGATTTTATTTTCATACACCGATAAATTTGTCATCCGTAATAATTTATTGAGACTAACTTGCGATAATGTGTAATTTATCGAGTGTGAAAATAAGATTATCATACACAGGATATTTATTCAAAATTTTCATACTACTGTCGGAATGTTGCGATGAAAAAGTTTGAAGATATAATTGTTAATATAAAGAATCACTTACCTCCCAACAGAAATGTTGATATTAAATATTAAATGTATTATTATAAATTATAATTCACAACATATACACACGAGACAGTAGCCGGGATCTTTTAGGATTGGTGCCAGAACCCGAAGACATCCGAGAGACTGGTCTGTTTGGTTTCAGTTGGCACTGGTATTTCTAGTAATACTCATACTCACATTAATTCTCACCCTATTGTCATTTACACTTCTTCTTTAAAATTATTTCATTTCACCTTGTTACATTTTTAATAATAGACAAGTTGTTTCTTTTCTGTCGCCCGGATCAACACTTAATTTAAAAAATCACCGTAAAGTGAAAGTAAAATTATTAAATTATAAAAAATCAGAATAAATGTTGTTTAAAAAAAAAAAAATAATAAAAAATTGAAGCTTGAGTGATGTCTGCAAAAATAATACTGCTGAGCAGTTTAATCTTCTTAATAATAGGTCTCTGCGACTGCAATGTCAACTCCGAAGAGCCTGAGTGGTGGGAATCCACCCAGATCTATCAGATATGGACTAGAGGATTCAAAGACAGCGACGGAGATGGCGAAGGCGATTTACAAGGTGCGCTACTTACTTTTTTTATGATTAATTGTTATATTGTGAGTGTCATAAATCAGCCATCAGCATTATTGCTATAGCACGGGTGATTCTAATTGTAGAGTTGGCAGTTAACCTCACTTTGAGTGACCTTGAGAAGAAATTTATTTTTAATGATAGTGAAGTTTGCATTTAAATTAATTTACCAGATATTTAATAATTTTTTTAACAAATAAATTATGGAAAAAAAAATTGACATGTAGAAATTTAAAAAAAAATTAAAAAACTGTCTTTACTGCTAATTTTAATGTCATTAATTTTTATAATTTTTTTAACAAATAAATTATGGCAAAAAAAAATCAGAAAAAAAAAATTGACATGTAGAAATTTTAATAAATTAAAAATGCAATTTTTCGGAGCAAATTTATTTATTTAAAAAAAATTATCAAGTGACAGCTGACTTTAATGTCATAATTAAATTTTTTTAATTATTTCAAAAGTTAGTAAGCTAATCAACTGTTTTGCCTAGGATTCTTGTAGAAGATGTAAAATCGATTCGATTGGTATATAACAATGATTAAAAATGAACTGATTGTAAATTTTAAACCTTACTCTAGTTAACTTTTGATAACTTTTAATAACAATACCCACGCGGACATGTAAAAATGAAAATTTTTCAGTTTTTACATGGGGGATTTATTTATTTAATATTTTTCATAATAATTTCACTGATAAAAATTTATAATGTATGTCAGCTTCAGTGTCGTTTATTTTTAAGATTAATTGTTGTTATTATTATTATTATTATTATTATTCAAAGTGAAATGCTTTCAGGTATTTTGAGCGAGCTTGATTACCTCAAAGATATCGGAGTAGAAACTATTTGCTTGAATCCGATATTTTTATCTCCGTTAATTGATTTTGGTTATGATATTTCCAATTATACTGACATTGATCCAATTTACGGAGACTTGGAAGACTTTGATCAGCTGATTGAAGAAGCTCACGAGCAAGGTATTTTTTTTATTATTATTAATTGATTTTTTTTAATATTTTCTAAAAGTAGTAAATTTTTTTTTTAAGTAAATCAAAAAAATAAAATTAATGGTTTTTAAATGTGATTTTTATTTACAGATATAAAAATAATATTAAACATAGTGCCGAGTCACTCAAGCATAGAACACGAGTGGTTTGAAGCCTCGGTAAATCGTATCGCTCCTTACAGCGATTATTACATCTGGGCGAACGGAAGCGTCGATGAAAATGGAACTAGAGTTCCGCCAAACAACTGGGTACATCCTTGTTAGGAAGTTATACGATAACCATTAGGGGTGTGGACTGGGTTGGGAGTCCCGATTAAAATAAAATTGATTGATTGGTTTTGTTTTTTGTATTTTAAGGCCAGTGTGTGGAATTATACCAAGGGCTCAGCTTGGACCTGGAATGAGGACAGAGATCAGTGGTACTATCATAAATTCAAAGACACTGAACCGAATCTTAATTTACGCAACAAAGATGTTGTTGAAGAAATACTGGTAATATTATAAATATTTTCATTAGCCAGATTTACAACAATAATAATAAAAAAAAAAAATAATAATAATATTTCCACGCTAAATTCCTCGGATAATAAAAATACCAAGTGGTATTAAATTTTTGAGATTTCTTCTTTAGCATCGGAACAAGAAATCTACTTTCTTTGATTTACTATTTTGTAATCTTAAATTCCAGGATATTCTGGACTTTTGGCTAGATCGAGGTGTGGATGGTTTCCAAATCTCAAAAGGCGGGTTCTTTTATGAGGACCTGGATCTGGAGGACGATTCAGACGAGTCTAATGAATCAGATGATTCAAATGAGTCAGATGAGTCTGTGGATGACTTTGGGGATGATGAGTATGCTAATTTTCTGTATAAAATCCGGGAGTTCACAGACAACTGGACAGAAGAGAACAATTCAACGTCAAAATTACTGCTTGTCGAGTCTGAGGAGTCAGATGCTAATTTGATATCTTACTATGGTGATAATAATCGCTCGGGAGTTGTACCGTTCAATTTTCATCTCATCACAAATGTCACCATTGATGACGGAGCTGATGATATCAAAATTTTAATTGAAAACTGGCTCGATGATATTCCTGAGAATTCTACAACTAACTGGCCGGTAATTTATAATTATTATTATCATTATTAAGTTGAAATTTTTAGAAATTAATAAGAATACTAAGTCACTATGTGACTTCCGTGACTTGTGGACTATAAATAAATAACATTTTGTTTTAATAAATAATGATTTTTGTTAAATTGCTCCGTACTTTCTTAACTATTGATGTTTTTAAAGATATAAGCTCATCTCGATGTTACACTCATCAAGAGCTTTCATTTGAGTACCCACATGCATTTTGATATATTTTTCATATATATATATATATAAAATTAATGTGGGTACTCAAATGAAAGGTCTCGATGAGTATAATATCGGAGTGAGCTTATATCTTTAAAAATGTCAATATTTCACAAAGCACAAGGTTAGTTCTTAACTATTGACATTTTTTAAGATATAAGCTCATTCCGATGTTACACTCATTAAGAGCTTTCATTTGAGTACCCACATACATTTTTGATATATTTTTCATAAATACATATTTATAATATATATATAAATATATAAAATATATGAAAAATTGATGTGAGTACTCAAATGAAAGGTCTCGATGAGTGTAACATCGGGATGAGCTTATATCTCTAAAAATGTCAATAGTTCTCAAGATTCAACGTCATTTTTTAATTATGTATCTAGAGATACAGCATTTTCGAATGCAGCCTAAATACTAATAATAATAGCAATATTAAATACAATTATTATTATTATTTTTTTTTTTAAGTAAATAAAATAATAAAAATTTTAGATAAGTCATCCAGACGGTTCAAGAATAGCGACAAGACAAGGCCAAGATCGCTTAGAAGCTTGGATGGTTTTGACGATGCTTTTGCCCGGACAAGCGTACTCTTACTACGGCGACGAGATTGGAATGACAGATGCAGCAGAGGTGCCTGGATACCTTAAGACAATAAATCCAACTCTAAACAATCTTGCTGACTTGTCTAAATACGCTGCCAAGTCTCCAATGCAATGGGACAACAGCACTTCTGCCGGATTCTCGGTTAACGAAACCCTCTACTTTCCCATTAACGAAGATTATGTCACCCGAAACGTTGAGAGTCAACTCGAGGACTCGCTCAGCACTCTAAATACTTACAAAAGTTTAGCGCATCTCCGCAAAGACCCGGTTTTCCATCACGGTAACTTCAGCATCGAGACTATCAACAACGATAAAGTTATCTTCCTCAAGCGGTACCTCTCAATCTTTTATTTATTAATATTACTTGCTAATTAATAAATACTTACTCACTACTTAGGCACTTGGAAAACCATCCGGATTATTTGGTGCTAATTAACTTTGGCGCGGAGGAAGAAATAGTTAACATTACTTCCCTGGTATCTGACGATGAAGACGACGATGATGATGATGACGATAATTTTGTAGTCGTCTTCTCGACTAATGAAGAAAATTTATATGAAGTAAATTCAACAGTAGAGACTGTTGTTATTGAACCCTCTGATGCTGTTGTATTGAGAAACTATATTAATGAAACTGATGCTAATTCACCTGAAGATGATAGTAAGTGCTTTCTAATTTATTTTCATATTTTAAAAATTAAAAATATCTAATAGAAAAAGTTTTAATTAATGTAATGAAAATACTGAGATATTATTTTTAATTATCTTCATTAATAATATAACTAGCAACCTTGTAGTCACTATGTGACTGCCGTGACTTGTGAACTATAAAAATTGAAATTTTGCTTTATTAAATAATGACTTTTGTTAAATTACACTGTACTTTCTTAAATATTGACATTTGTAAAGATATAAGCTCACTCCGTCATTACACTCATCGAGACCTTTCATTTGAGTACCTACATCAATTTTTCATATATTTATATATATTATATGTATATGTAAAAAAATATATGAAAATGCATGTGGGTACTCAAATGAAAGCTCTTGATGAGTGTAACATCAGAATGTGCTTATATCTTAAAAAATGTTAATGATTAAAAATTGACTGCTATCTTGTCAAAAAATGATATTTTTTAAGATATAAGCTCATCCTGATGTTACACTCATCAGAAGCTTTCATTTGAGTACCCACATGCATTTTGATATATTTTTCATATATACATATATATATTATATATAAATATATGAAAAATTGATGTGGGTACTCAAATGAAAGGTCTCGATGAGAGTAACATCAGAATGAGCTTATATCTTTAAAAATGTCAATAATTCTCAAGATACAAGGTCATTTCTTAATTATGTATCAAGAGATAGCGCATTTTCGAATGCAGCCTAAATACATATCATCATAAATTGATTAAAAAAAATCAATATCATTTTTAAATTAAGTTTTTTTTTAATTAAATTCAATATGTTCTCTAATTAACTTTTAAATTAATAAAAAAACCAATAAACCCAATAAAAAATCTGAGGTTGATTTTAAAATGAATAATTTTTCAGGTAGCCAAGAGAATTCTGATCTGAAACCCACTCCATATTCATTAGGCGTAGGTGTAATTGATAGCACTCCAGCAAATTTAGCCGTAACTACCGAGGAGTTAGATGACGACGAGGAAGAGACATTAGATATTTCGAGTGAGATAATTCCAGAATCAACTGCATCTGTCGGAGGAACGGCTCTGATAATTAATCCAATTATCACGTTGTTGAGTATCTGTTGTATCTTGTTACTATTTAAATAAATCTAATAATTAATTAGTCAATTAAATTCTAACATACATATATAATATATTTATTATTTTTCTAGAATATAATTTTTACAATAAATACATTCCTCTCTTAGTCCATAATACAAATATTTTTCTAATTTATTTTTTTATTAATTTACTAACACACATTTTCGCGTATCGTCCGGGAAACTCGCTGAGAATTTTATTAATTTTTTTTACTCACTAATAACTTTTATAAATTGAATATTTATTTTAAAATAACTATTTTTTTTTTTTAATTTTTAATTTTATTATATAGAAAAACACAACCAAACATTATTTATGAATGCAGTAAAAAATGTACAAAAATATAACAAAAGATTAAAAGAGTTAAGTTGAATTTAAAACTCTCTGGCACTAGCGAACATTTTATAGATTTTTTTTAGAAGTAGAAAAAAAAAATTTACTTTTTTTATTTCTTCTTTCAAGTCTAACATTTCTTCTATCCTAACCATAGTCATAATATTTATAATAATAATAATAATAATAATAATAATAATAATAATAATAATAATAAAAATAAAAGGAAGAAATAAAAAAAAATATAAATAAATCTTTGATTGGTCTTTGATCAAATGAAATTATTTTTAAAAATAAAAATATTTAAAAATTATTGAAGTATTGAATAATGCCAAAAGATTTAATTATAGAATTAGAATTGACGTTTAATAATTGATATCCTATTTTATTTTTTATTTTTGTTTAGATAAAAGGCCATCGGTTCGTTAGTTGCTTTTAATATTTATATTTAAGAAATAAAAATTGAATATTGACAATCTGACATTAAAGTTTGACGTGAATGATGATTCAATTTCCTGGGGGCTTTAAAGCCAAAGTTTATTCCCAAAAGAAATTACGGGAGTTGGGGGAGAGAATTTACTGAGGCGCACTAAAAACTGTCGGGCTTTTCAACAACTTTAAAGATATTGGAAAGTTCATCGACGAGAGTCTCGTAGCGATACGCCACCCGGATATCGGGGACATTTGTCCTCGTGATGTCGTTCCCAGCTACTCCTTCCTTGGTGTAGTTTGGTCCTAGCCAGTACTGCTTGCTCTGAAATTATAAAGGTTTTTTTTTAAGTGGCAATTTTGTTTCTTCTTCTTGGAAGTGATCTTATATTAGGAACTAGCTCGTCGGCGTTAAAATGTCAGTAGTATAAATTTATTTATTAAAAAAAACAATTTTTTAATTTTAAATCAGTAAAAGGAATTTTTTTAATTAAAATTTTTGAAAATTTGAATTCAAATTAACTATTGAATACAATCCAATAAATTTTTATTTAAAAATACTCTATCTCTAGATACATAATTAAGAAATGACCATGTATCTCGTGAACTATTAACATTTTTAAAGATATAAGCTCATCATGATGTTACATTCATCGAGGATGAGTGTAACATCAGGATGAGCTTAAATCTTCAAAAATGTCAGTAATTAAGAACTGTATCTTGTCTGCTATTGACATTTTTAAAGATATAAGCTCATCCTGATCTTATACTAATCGAGACCTCTCATTTGAGTACCCACATCAATTTTTTATATATTTCATATATTTATATATATTATATATGTCTATATATGAAAAATATATCAAAAATGTATGTGGGTACTCAATTGAAAGCTCTTGACGAGTGTAACATCAGGATGAGCTTATATCTTAAAAAATGTCAATAGTTAAGAAAGTACAGTGAAATTTAACAATAGTCATTGCAAAGTTGCTAGTTTTAATTAATAATTAAATGAAAAAAATTTATATAATTTTTATTTATTAAAATTTAAAGCTTTTAATTTTATTTAAAAATTGTAAAAAAATATTAATTAAAAAATAAATATAATGTAATATTATTTATTTATGAATTAAGAGTACTGTCAGAGTAGAGTCTTATTAATTAAAGTATTAATAATTATCGAAATTTATAATATAATGATAATAACATACCTTGTGAGGAAAACCGCTCATTATTACAGAGTTCCTTGCAAGCTCACACATGTCGCAAGAACTGAGCTTCCAGACCTGTGCAGCAATACTGTACTCCTCCATGAGAGGTTCCTGAAAGACAAAAAGAACAAGTAAAGGCCTTTGTAGAATAGAAGTAAATAAAAGAGCCCGCAGTAATTTATATTCATTAGAGAAACGTAAAGCTGTTCCTAGTATTAACAAGCTAGGAACTTCAAAAGCCACTGTCCTCCATAAATACCTTTGTGAAGTGAAATTGCAGAGGATCGTCTGTGGAGAGGCTGACGCAGAGGCCCCGTGCAAGGTATTCCGGCAAAGGGTTACGGTGGTAGTTCAAGAATAGAGAATTATTGCTCAGAGGTGACATTGCGATCCCAATCTGAGCCAGGTAATACAGATATTGGAGCACTGGGACTTTGCGGAGCAGGAGACCGTGTGATATATTCTCTGCCATCATGAATCCGCAGACCAGATGTTGAATTGGACCTGCTTCACCGCAGTGAGGTCGCAGGACGAAAGTGTTCAGGCCTCGGTCACTACAAAGTTAATTTTATTTTTTTAATTATAATTATGTTTATAAATATTCATAATTTTATACTGATGAAATAACTTTTTTTTTTAATTAAATAAACTTAATTAATTGTTTATAAAATTTATTAATGGTTAAAAATTTTTTGTTAACTGCTAATAAATAATTATTTATTTTTAATAAATCTATATTATTAAGAGAATCTTTAGATATATAATTAAGAAATGACCTTGTATCTTGTGAACTATTGACATTTTTAGAGATATAAGCTCATCCTGATGTTATACTCATTGAGACCTTTCATTTGAGTACCCACATCAATTTTTCATATATTTTATATATTTATATATATTATATATGTATATATGAAATATATATATATAAAAAATGCATGTAGGTACTCAAATGAAAGCTCTTGATGAGTGTAACATCAGGATGAGCTTACAAATTTAAAAATATCATTAATTAAGAAATGACCTAGTATCTCGTGAACTATTGACATTTTTAAAGATTTAAGCTCACCTCGACATTACACTCATCGAGACCTTTCATTTGAGTACCCACATCAATTTTTCATATATTTATGTATTTATATATATATTATATATATGTATATATGAGAAATATATCAAAAATGCATGTGGGTACTCAAATGAAAGGTCTCGATGAGTATAATGTCGGGATGAGCTTATATCTTTAAAAACTTCAATAGTTAAGAAAGTACAGTGCAATTTAACAAAATTCATTACTTAATGAAGTAAATTTTTTATAAAAATTGATGATAATAAATAAAAAAATAAAGCAATTAAAATTTTAAATAAATAAAAAGAATTATTTAATATTTAATAAACTTTTTTATAAATAGATATTAAATAAAACTTACGCTCGAAAATGATTGAGGACCGTCATGTTAGCATAAGTATAGTACTGATAGTACCCATAGGGAGGATTCTCAATGTCATTCCATTCCTCAGGAGGCGATACGTCTTTATCAAAAAGCGGATTCTCAGGTTTGCTCTCATCGTCAACAGAGTCGAATCCAATTACATACTGCAGGAACTTGTGAAGGTCGGGATGAGACGAAGGATCGTTAGTGACTTCGAACAGCGGCAAGAAGATGTTGTTAATAATTTCTTGGAAATTACTCATCAACTTGTTCAGCTTGAATATATCGCTGGAAAATAAATCAAGGACAAACAATAAATACTAAAATATTAAAATTAAAACTAATTAACAATTCCTTTTTTTAACATTTAAAGGCAGACTTACTAGAGCCGTGGAATCTGAATAAGCCAGCGAACGTTGTCTGAATAGACGTCACCTTTGATCGCCCAATTAGCAAGCTTGTCCCATTCATCAGCGCTTTTACCGTAAATAGACAGCCTCAGTTCGGCATTCTGATACTTTGACTCCTCAAGGTCGCTGGCAACTTCTTTGATAATCCTCGCAAAGTATTTACCGTCGAGATAATTGTCGGTCTTAAGAAACACTTCACGCAGACGACTTTCGCCGATCGGGTTGTACTTGGCGTTGAATTTATCAAAACGATGGAAAGTATTTCTGTCCTGCAGGAAAAAAATGTTTTTTTTTTTTTTTTTAGTTAGACTTTTGCCTAGACTGTTAATTAAATTTATTATAAGTGCATTATTACTTACTGCGTGAACGTCGAGCATATCTACGCTAAGATCGTAAGTTGTGAGATTCATTGACTCAAATACTTGGGCAAGAGTCATCATTTCCCCGCTCTTCGAGCATGTCACTACTTCATCAGCATGATTTTTTAGTGTCTTTTTTATGAATCGTAATAAATGTTTTTGATTCATACATGACGCTGCGTGAATATGTGTGTCCACCTGAAATTATTTATTAGTTATTTAATTATAATAAATTGATCAATAATTATATCTTAATCTACTTCAATTAATTAAAACAATTTAAGCTCAATAAAAAGTTAATTAAAATTATGAAGATATGTATTAAAAACTAAAAACTTTTCATTTTTTAAAATCAATTTATAAGCAAATAAAAAAATTTTTAAGTTTGTAAAAATTCTTAAGAAGATAATTAAGAAGAAATGCTGACGTTAAGTAGAAAAATTAACACTGATAATTTTTTTATAAGTTTCTTCTTTGTAAACTTGAATCTAAAAAAAAAATCATGAATAAAAAAAAATTATTTTAAGTTATGAAGGAAAATTAAATTGAAATAACATAAAAAAATTAAAGAATTGTTCAGTTTGACTTAGTTTGATATAATAGGTATTTAAAAATAATTTCTTAGTTAAAAATTTTATTCCTTGAATCAGTTTAATTTCAATGAAAATTAAGTAGTTAGCCGACATTTAAAAATTGCGTTTATAAAAAACTAGAAAACCTTTAAGTGCAATTTTAAGAAAAATTTTTTTTGTTCCAATTTAATTTGTAAAAAAAAAAATTAAGAAATCAAAAATGGCGGCTAACTTTAGTATTATTAAATTTTAATATTAACATAAGGTAAAAGATCCAGTTATTGACATGTAATTTTATTTTAATTAAAAAGAAGAATCAACTTTAATAAATTACACTTTTGTTAAATCGCACTGTATTTTTTTTAACTATTAACGTTTTTGAAGATATAAGCTCATCCCGATGTTACACTCATCAAGAGCTTTCATTTGAGCACCAACATGCATTTTTATTTAATATATTTGTCGTATATACATATATATATATATATATATACATATATAATATATATAAATATATGGAAAATTGATGTGGGTACTCAAATGAAAGGTCTTGATGAGTGTAACATCAGGATAAGCTTATATCATGAAAAATATCAATAGATCTCAAGATACAAGGTCATTTCTTAATTATTGACATTTGTTAAAATATAAGCTCACCCTGATGTTACACTCATCAAGGGCTTTCATTTGACTACCCACATGCATTTTTATATATTTTTCAAATATACATATATATTTTATATATAAATATATAAAATATATGAAAAATTAATGTGGGTACTCAAATGAAAGGTCTGGATGAGTGTAACATTGGGATGGGTTTATATCTTTAAAAATGTCAATAGTTCTCAAGATACAAGGTCATTTTATCATATAAATACACTGGCCACAAAATTTGGCTTATTCTCTTAATTATATAGATAATTTTTGAATTATATATTTTATTAGTTTTTTAAGAAAATTTAATTTTTTTAATTAAAATAAAATTGCAAGTGTCAATAATTGAGTCTTTTACTTAAATAAATAAATAAAATAAAAAACCAACCTTTCTGATATTATAAAAATCCCTGTGAGGAACAGCTTTCTGACTAGCAAGTTCCCGTAGCTCATTAAGCAGAACATGTAATTGAAATTTCGAAGACAAGTAACTCAATCGCCTGTAGCAAAATGATTTAAGCGGGCCATCGGCAATCATAGAGCAGAGCAAATTCATGTCACGTACAAAGGTCCCGAGATCCGGGTAAGCGTAAGGCAAAGGCTTTCCATTAGCAAGATCCTCCTCGTTAGCGTAGACGTTGAACACTCCGTTGACGGGGTTGATCTTGTAATTCTTGGCAGGTGGAAACTCGCAGTCCCAGGGGTCGCCTCTTGAGGCCGGTGCATGCACAGGATGGTCTAAAATAGCCACAATAGTTAGGAACAATGCAACCTCGAGAGGGACTGCCCTCAGCGTTAAAATAAAACAAAAGATAAATAATACATAACAAGGGACCTTGAGTGACACGTGCTCAGAAAAGTCGACAGACGTCAGCGAGATTTAACCTGACTCAGCTCCGGGATAGGGATCAGGACTCTGGAGAAGTTATTTGTAATAAATTGTGTTTAATTATTTAAAACAGTTTACCTGCTATCGCCATTCGGTCCTCGTGCTGGAACAACTCCGCGCTGTTCAAAGGCTTCTTGTCGACGTTCCTCAGGAACCGGGAGGTGATGGACGGAAATGTCTGGTTTGAATTTATCATGTACTTCTCTCGGATGTACAGTGCTTGCACCAGCATCTGCGATGCTCTTTGCAGATCCTCCAATGGCACCTGCAAACAATTTTTTGTTAAATTGTACTGTACTTTTTTAAATATTGAAGTTTTTAAAGATATAAGCTCATCCCGATGTTACACTCATCAAGAGCTTTCATTTGAGTACCCACATGCATTTTCATATATTTTTCATATATACATATTTATAATATATATAAATATATAAAATATATGAAAAATTGATGTGGGTACTTAAATGAAAGGTCTCGATGAGTGTAACATCACGATGAGGTTATATCTTTAAAAATGTCAATAGTTCACAAGATACAAGGTCATTTTTTAATTATTAACATTTTTTAAGATATAAGCTCATCCTGAACTTACACTCATCAAGAGCTTTCATTTAAGTACCCACATGCATTTTTGATATACTTTTGATATATACATATATGTAATATATATAAATATATAAAATATATGAAAAATTGATGTGGGTACTCAAATGAAAGGTCTTGATGAGTGTAACATCGGGATGAGCTTATATTTTTAAAAATGTCAATAGTTCACAAGATACAAGGTAATTTCTTAGTTATGTAAAAAACCGATTTTATCATATGACTATCCTGGACACGAAATTTTTCTTATTCTCTCAATAATACAAATGATTATGAAAGTGAAAATTTTACAGGAGAGATGTAACGTTTTATTGATTGAACTTGACCTTGACTGGGTCAGTGTGATGTGAAATTAAATATGAGTTCACTTGATCTAACACGTGCGAGCTAGGTCACCAGGGAAAGTTCTGGCTAAAGAGCAATACCAGGATATGTATACCTTCTTTATCAATATCCATATCAATAGTTATAATCATGGTAATTATATTTCCGTGACTGTTTGAATAAGTCTACTAACTAACCAATTACTTAGTTGATTAACTCGGATAATATTTAATTAAATTTAATTTAATGTAAAGTTTGCGCTGGCAGATTTTATTATTTTTGTTTTATAAGTTTATATTTTTAGGTAATTTTAAAAATTTTATTACTTTTAATTTGAATGAAAAATTTATTACTTCTAATTTTTATAATGAAAAAATTAATATTTTAATTTTTACAATGAATTTACTGTGAAATTTGCACTACTAGATTTTATAATGTTTGTTTTTAATTTTTTTATTATAATTGAAATTAAAAAAATTAATTTTCTTTAATTAAATAAAAAAAAATTAATATAAATTGTTAAATAAAAATTTAATATTACAATTTTTGACATAAAAAATTGATATTTTAGTTTTCATAAATAAATCAATATTAAATTTTACAATTAAAAATATTAATGTTTCAATTTTAATAAAAATAATTAATATTTTAATTTTTAAAATCAATTTACGGTAAAATTTACACGACTAGATTTTATAATGTTTGTTTTTAATTTTTTTATTCAATTAAAAAAAATTAATCTTTTTTAATTAAATAAAAAAATTAACAAGCTTTTAAATTAAAAATGTAATATTACTATTTTTGCAATAAAAATCGATATTTTAATTTTAATAAATAAATTAATATTAAATTTTACAATAAAAATCAATAATTATAATTTAAATAAAAAAAAAAGTAATGTATTAATTTTTAAAATAAATTAAAATAAAACTTTAAGTAACTTAAAATATAAAAAATAAAACCTGTCTATTATATAAAAACTTTTTGACATTAATTTAGTCTTAACACTTTAGACATTTATTAGAATTGTTAAATAATTAGCGTAATCGTGAGTAAATTTCTATCGTGTAAAAAAACTTTATAATTATATTGCTGAGAATTTAAAACAGATGTTATTTTTTTTCTCGTGAATTAAAATAAAGTGTACATAAAAAAAAAAGTAAATAAAGTATTTAATCACGCGAAGAATTTAATGCAGATATGAATCATAATTTTAAGAAGTGTCATTCACAAGAACCCGGCATTTAATCAGAATCCCAAGAACTTCATAATCAAGGTCGTGGAAAAATGTAACGCAAGCTTTCCGATAACGTAACGAGCTTGCAGGGGTGCATGATATTTTTAATGACGTGCTATAAAGGTGAACTTGACGTAACACCGCACTCATGCGGTTTCCCGGCATCGTCCACCTTCCACCTTCCACCTTTTCCTCAACAGCTAGCAAAAAAGTCAATGCGAGTAACAAAGTTCATAAAAGTAAAAATATTATTTCATTAAAACTTACTCCAGATGTGTCTTCCCCGGAAATGGAGACGCGCTGGAAGTGAGGAACAAAGTCGTTTTCTTCGAGGTTGAAGGGGTAGTCATTGTCGTCAGCTGCAGGTCCCAGTGAAGGTTCATAGTGGCTGCGTCGCTCCTCAAGGTCTTTTGCCGCTCTGAAATAAGAATTATCATAATAAAAAAATTATAAATTATTTATGTCTAATAAATTAAGTGTTTTCAACTTATCCAACTCGTATTGAATAATATCGTCATAAATAAATAAATAAATAAATAAAAGAATAATTAAGTAAACAAGTACACGTTTTAAATGATTAATCGAACTGTTTATCTTCCGAGATTTAAAAATGGATAAATGCGTCACTAAATTACTTAGTCATTAAATTATTTATTTACATTCAATTAAGTTAATTATTTTTTAATTAAATTTTTTCTAAGTAAATTAAAAAAAATTAGAAGCGCTCGGTTTAAAATTTTTTTTTTAAAACATAAATTTAATTAAATTATTGTTATTATCTTGTGAAATATTGACATTTTTAAAGATATAAACTCATCCCAATGTTACAATCATCGAGACCTTTCATTTGAGTACCCACATCAATTTTTCATATATTTACATATATTTATATATATGTATATATGAAAAATATGTCAAAAATGCATGTGGGTACTCAAATGAAAGCTCTTGAAGAATGTAACATCGGGATGAGCTTACATTTTTAAAAACGTCAATATTTAAGAAAGTACACTGGAATTTACCAAAAGTCAGAATTTAATAACGCAAAATTTCAATTTTTTAGTTCATAAGTCACGGCAGTCACATAGTTATTATTATTATTATTATTATTATTATTATTATTATTATTATTATTATTATTATTATTATTATTATTGATAAATTTAAAAAAACACCTTAATTATTTCAATACAATCTTACTTTATCAAAATATTTTTGTCTCTCAACCACCGCTTAGAATCAATAGCGCAAGCGAACATTATAAATAAAATATCAACTATGTCTCTAAAATAATTATAAGATTGAAGGCACTGAGTATCACAAACAAATAATTACGTAAATAAAAATACTGTCACGATAATTCTACTACATCTCGCCTCGATATATAAAATCAATCAAAAATAAAATAAAATGATTTATTATTTCGGAAAACCGATCAAGTTCCTCGAATTCATGGCTGGCTACGATAGATAAAAATAAAACTTGCTATTTAATATATTTAAAGTAAAAAAATAGTAATATCTTATTGCGAGATAAGAGGAAACGTTTTATTGAAGATTTGTATCCTATCGCGCTTGCAGTCGCACTAGTACTGCCGGAGAGACCGCCGATATCCCTTCCATGTGTTTATAAGCCGCTGCAAGAGTACGCGTGCGAGAATATTTTTCACCCGCATCCCACACTCCTTATTCTGGAAAATAATTTTATAAAAATAAAAATGAACTGTTTTTTTTTTTTTTTTTTTTATTAATTAATTAATTATCAAAAATGTATTCTTACACGCGCGAAGCGATATTGTAATTTAATTATAATTATAATTGTTTATAATTTATAAATTACGCGTGTTAGCCAGCCATTGGGGGACGCGAGGGGATAATATCGAATTAATATCGTATAATGTCGGACATAAATGTCGCAAAGAGATATTATGTCAAGTATCCGAATGAACGGGACACTAGGGACACTGGGAATATGAAAGAGAAAGAGGATCACTCCATTTAGCTCTATTCACCGTCATTGGATTATTGATCGGTAGTTTACTTGTTGTTACCATTTTCATTTTATACATGTGATATGTGAACATATAGATAGTAGTGCGTCATGCTTCCAACGACATAATTTTGGGTCGATTGATAAAATCCATTCACGTGTACATGAGTTTGTTATTAAATAACGTTTAATTAACTCTGCTATTATCCGGTCTGATGACTCAACCGATTAAGGACAATATTGGATACCAAGATCAATTTATTATCAATGATTCTGGAATTATTTTTTTTTATTTTACAATAAATAAATTAGCAATAATAAAATTGTAGAAAATTTTTGACTTGTAGAAATTTAAAAAAATGATGACATTTTATAAAAATTATCTATATTATTAAGAGAATAAGAAAAAATTTGTGTCCAGAATAGTCATATAATAAAATCTGTTTCTTTAATGAAATTTAGTGTCATTATAAAGGTCTTGACTTGAATTTGTGTCTTTTCAAGGTTTCATTTCATTCTCACCGATAGTCAATTTATTATGATGAGTATTTAAGCTGCATTAGAAAATGCTCTATCTTTAGATACATAATTAAGAAATGACCTTATATCTCGTGAACTATTGACATTTTTAAAGACATAAGCTCATCCCGATGTTACACTCGTCGAGACCTTTCATTTGAATACCCGCATCAATTTTTCATATATTTTATATATATATATATATGAAAAATTTATGAAAATGTATGTGGGTACTCAAATGAAAGCTCTTGATGAGTGTAATATGAAGATGAGCTTATATCTTCAAAAACGTCAATATTTAAGAAAGTACATTGCAATTTAACAAAAGTCATCATTTAATAGAGCAAAATTTTGTTTATTTATATTTCACAAGTCACATAGTGATAGCAAGGTTGCTAGATTTTTATAATTTATTTATTTGATAAATAAAATTTAATCATGGTTTTAAAATTAGAAAGTATTTAATTATTAATTTAAAAATAAATTTTATCAATAATAAAATTACAAAAAATTGAAACCTTTAATAATTTTTAAAAAATTCTAAAAATAAAAAAATTCTATAAGTAAAAATTGTAAAAAATTCTAAGTAAAAATGTTTCTAATTAATTTATTTGTTAAATAAAATTTAATTCTATTAAAATGTCTGTAAATTTCAGTTCTATATTTATTTCAATAAAATTTCCTAAAATTGAAGTAATAATGAACATACTTGACAGTAAGCTGCCTCTGGATCAATAGTTTCTTCTCGATCTGCTCGATCGGAAATTGCGGAACTTCATACGGCGCTGATATTTCATTAGGAAGCTCCGAAGGCATCCTCAAATTTCCTCCGCCACCTGCTGCGTCAAAAACTGGACTCTCGCTCTCTGAAATAAATTAATCATTCATTAGTTTCAAAGTTTCTTTTTTTATCGAAAAGTAATTTATGATACTGAAAATAGCAAATCAATTTTCATATAAAAAAAAAAAAATAGAGTACCATTATCAATTTTTATTTGAGGAATATTTTTTACCGGTTTTTTAGTAAATGACAGAGAGTAATTATTAAAAAGATCTTTTTCACTACTCGTCATTTTATAAGTGAGTAAATAAAACGCGATTTTATAAAATAAAGTTATTTTTAAAGTGACTAACAGCTATCAGAAAGCCAGCTGATAACACCAGTCAGTAATCACTCCACTAAAAAAGTATATAATATATATCTGAACTGTTTAAGAGCTCCAATGCTTTAAATGCAAATTTTTCAGTTCCAAAATATTAACTTAAAAAAAAATTCTGAATAACTATTTATTAATATTGCTATTGTTAATCCACTTGATGTTCATTCACCTCAGTATTATTTATCAATTTATTTTTTAGTCAACAAACAAAAGTCTCTTTATGATTTTTATTTTTAGACAACCGCAGCGTTTATTGGCTAAAGCACAAAATATATTTATCCGATGAATTATTTTCAGTCAATAAAGCGATTAAATATAGAGGAGCAATTAAATTTAACTGAATTTAATTTCTACGCATGTTTTGATACGCAGTTACCCTCTCTCTTCTCTTTTCTTCTACATTACACTGCGTATCACGCTATTTTTTATACGCTTCTCCTTCTAGTTCGATAATCGGTACACAACAAAATAAAAATAAACTTTTATAATAATTAATAATAAAATACGATATAGTACAATTTGATTTTAATTCAGTTCACTGGCCTGTGAAATAAATATTATAAAAATTAAATAAATAAATATTAATTAATATAAATGTTTATAAATAATTCTGAAATTTTTTTATTATTCTTTATAATTTAATTAAGTTAATAAAAATATCCCTGATATTTTATACACCTAGCTTATAATTATTAAACAATATTTGTTATTGTCCTTGACTATTTCAAAATAAATAAATAAATATAATAGATTGAAAAGAATGTCAGACAGTTATTATATTGAAACTATTGAAGAGTGTCGAGTAGACTGAGTAAACAAAGAATTATTTTGCTTAATATTATTATCACCTCAGCAATTGAAATTGTAATACAAACGTAAACACCTAATACACTTGTATATATAAAAGTACATACTATTTAAATTTAAATTTACAATCCGGTCTCCTCACGATTTAAATTTCAATGGATTTATAAGCGTCGTAAATCACTAAAATTCCGGCGCATTTGTTCGCCAAAAGAGACGATAAAGTCTCAAGAGATTTTCGATGAAAGAGGTAAACTGAGAATTTTTGTTTAACAATGAGGAAAGTTTAAGCAAAAAGCTCTGTCGCTTAGTTTATCTTGTTTTCTAGTTCTCAAACTCGTTTCAGTTTCGTCTGCAAATCGGTTTCTGGCTTGCTACCAACAATACTAAAACTTGGCTCAAGTTTTATCATAAAAATCAATACTCTCGTTCCAACTTTCGTTTCACTTATTTTTTTATAAAAACTAAAATAAGTATCTGCAATAAAATAAATAAAATTATTATTATTAACTTTAAATTTTTAGAAATTGATAATAACTATAATCTTAAATTAAAAGTAAATATTTACAAGTGGGGTCAATAATTTTAATTTTCATTTTTTTGAATGAAATTTCTATTTGATTTTATTGAAATATTTTTTTTTAATATATAAAAAAATTAATAATTAAAAAAAAAAGTTTATTATTACAATTTTAATAAATTTACAAATTTTTTAGAAAATTGTGATATTTATTTTTTTTCAAATTGTTCTTTTTTTATGTACTTTTTAAAAAAAAAAAATAAAATAGAAATTTTATCCAAAAATATGAGAGCCAAAATTTTTTCCAACTTTTGAAAGCAAAAAATCTATCGAAATCTTTATTTTTTTCTTTCACGACAATTTTTTATCTAGTTATAGCCTAAAATAGGTTTAATCCCACTTGTAAATAATTACTCAATTTTTTATTGCAAAAATTACAATAATAAATTTTTTATTCAAAAACTTATATATTAATTTTTTTAGTTTAAATTAAAATAAAAAATTTCAAAACAAACATTATAAAATCAAGGCAAATTTTACAGTAAATTTATTTAAAAAATTAAGATATTAATTTTTTTAATTAACTAAAAATAAAAACTTGAAGGCAACTTAAAACTGCTGAAGGCAAAAAAGCTATCGAAATCTTTATTTTTTTCTTTGACAACATTTTTTATCATAAATGCGCTGTAAAAAAAAGCAGAATAAAAAAAATTAAAGGATCCCACTTGTAAAAAATTACCAAATTAAATTATTATTATTATTATTAATAAGTTAAATTTTTTAGAAATTATTATTAAACTTTAATTTAATTAAATTAAACTATTATTAATTTTTCTTAAAATAAAATATCCTAGATATTTATTAAAAATGATAATAATATCTAATTATCCAACAAAAATTGACAAATCTTATAACTGAACGTGGGACGTCAATAAAAATAGTACCGGTAGTATTAAAAATCTAAATTCCACAGTATATAATTCACCTATCAGTCTCCTTACATACAACCGGTACTCATCTCGGATAGCATGACGGTAATTGGTACAAATACTCATATAATAATAATCTTAGGCTAACTGATAAAATAGTGAGGTCTAATGTAGTCTGCATATCTTTACATCAACGGTACTAATAACTGACAAATAAAACGACGATAATGATGCAGCAAAAGTGGATCAGTTATGTAACTGATCAGCTCTCGGTATTCTGTATTCTCTAGATCATAGAGCAAAAAAATTTGTTTTTTAATAATTAAAACAAGTAAAATATCCTCACCTTCCTCGCTGATAAAAAAAGTCGGCTGATGTAACCAGCACTGAAGAGACTTGGCCTCATTATTATTAGTAACTCCGCGGCTCGACATTTTCTCGCTTGCTCAATATGGAATTTAACTCACATAAAATAAAAGGCTTAAAAGGTGCAGGAGCCACTAAATAATTTGCATAATAATAAAACTTTAAAACAACTAGGTGGTTGCAACAACAACTGAGTTTAAAGTTTAGAGTTATGACGGAGCACACGCGAGTTGTCGCGAGTGACTGAACTCGATGCAGTGTTATATTATATTATGTTACACATGCCAACAAATTGTTAGCATGCTTCTGCTAATATTCTTGATGATTGATTCGCTAATTAAAAACACAATTGTTTTCAGAGTAATTTACCGCGCAAATAAAAAGAGCGATTAAATTTTGCGTCGCTCTTAATTTAAGTCAGAAAATTAAACCAGATTAACTGTTTAAGAAGACTCGTTGACGACTGACTTGCTTTGTATCTTGTTCCTGGTTCTATTCGTGTACCAGAAAAGCTCTAACGCAGATCAATGAGTGTTTATGCTAGCAAACCTTGAGCTCCGAGCCAAGTACGTCAACCTGTGCTCAAGAGTGTCTTACTTTGTAACAAAATATTGGATTTACAGAAATAGTTCATATCATTTCTGTCTTTATTGGACTTTCCTTGTGCTGGTTCGCTTTCGAGTCACGAACATCTGTTTTTTTTTTTTTGTCTTTTAGCTTCTATTTGTCATACCTTGCAAGCGAGGAAATAATAACCTGGCGCGCTGCACGATTCCAGTCGTTAAATGTTGCACTTGGAAAATCAATACTCGCTGGTTAATTCTTGTATTTTCCATCCACTATTCATTCACTCATCGGTTCAATGGCATTCACACCAATCCCTCACATACTCGACATACTTTTAATATTAGAAAGTTAATTAAAAATTTTGTTTATACAATTCTTTCTAAAATTTGAATTATGTTAATATATTTAAAAATAAAAATGAATGGATTTTTTTAATGTAAATTTTTTAAATATACAAATCATTTTTACAAGCATAAAAATTTACATTATTTAATTTAAATTATATTAATAAATTAAAATTAAACAATTGATGGATTCTTTTTAAAGTGAATTATTTAAAAATGTAAATTATTTTTACAAGCATAAAAATTTTAATTATTTAATAAAATTATGAAAAAATTTTTAAATATTCTTATGTATTTTTTGAAATATATTCAATTTTTATATTTACTATTTTCAGTATCAAAAATTATAAATAAAAAAAATAAACTTACTCTCACGCTGATCGCCGTTGTTGCCAATATGAGTGCTGTCAGTGTCAACTTCATTTTCTAACTCATAAACCGCATCTCCATTGGTCTTGCTGGCTCCATTTAATACCGGGCTCTCCATTATTCTAAAAATACCAAAAATAATTAGTACTTTATATTAATTCAGTCAATAAATATTATAATTATTCATCAGTGTATTAATATGTATAGTGAAATAAAAATGAGCAAAGTTTGAAATGCGAATAATTTAACTGAATCATTAAGTACTAAAATAACTAAATATTCCAATGAAATCCTTGAATTTAAAACAAGCTTAATAATCACTCTTAAATCCACAACAGTATTTACGTCCTCACATAAATAGCACTTAATCGAGCGATTATAATTTATAATGTATTTATAACAAATGTAAAGCATCAGTATAATAACCGTATCTACTTTGACTTTTTAGACTTTTGTAGTGTGTATTGTTTTGTTTGTTTAGCGGTAATAAGTTAGAACTAATGATAGTGACATATGACAAAGTGTACTTTTTGTTAGAACTTATAACAATACATAAAATAATATACATTCTATTAATTATTTATTTTTAATTATTTTATTAAATTGTTTTAAAAAAATCATCTGACATTTGACATTTTTATTATAATTTATAAAAAAAGAAGTATTTAAAAAGAATTTCCCCTTTTATTGATAATAATTTTGTTAAAAAAACTTTGATATAAAATTAATTTATTTAGTTCATAATATTATTGAATGAAAATAATGATAATTAATGGAGCACATATTTAATAATTTTATAACAAATAAATTATGGCAAAAAAAAATTGACATTTAGAAATTAAAAAAATGCAATTTTTTAAAAATAATTTTTTGGAATAAATCCTTTTGTTAAATAAAATTAAAAAATTTTCAAGTGACAGCTAACTTAAATTATGAAAATAAAGTTAGCCATTTAAAAATGTTTTTAATTTATTTTATTAAAAAAAAATTTATTTTCTAAAAAATTAAAAAAGCTCTAACCACAATTTTTTAATTTTAATTTAATAAATAAAGCAAAAAAATTAAAAACGGCTAATTCTAGTATTATTATTAATGAAAACAAAGTTAGCCGACATTTAAAAATTTTTATGAATTTTTTTATTAAAGAATTATTATAAAAAAAAAAACTTTTTTAGTTAAAAACTTCAAAAACTGTAAGTGCAATTTTATTGTTATAAATTAATAAATAAAGCAAAATAAAAAAATAAAAAATGTCGACTAACTTTATTATTATTATTGCGTTCTATTATCTATAATTGCGTATAAACTCACCAAACTTATCAGCTGATAACTATAATCAATGTTGTCTAGTCAATTGCTTGAAAACTTTTAAATAAAGTACTTAATAATTTATTAAATTTATAAAACACTCTTGAGAACCACTGTTAATGCAAGTGAGCATGCACTCTCGACACAATCAATCGCACGTTGTCTTGACACAAATCTCTCCCAGAAAAAAAAATATCCAAACACAAAAAATGCACAATTATAATAAAAAGAGTCTCAAAAAACTGACCACTTACAATTTGAAATATAAATAAAAAAAATCAATAACAGTAGTGATAATAATAATAACGACTGGTAATCAATGAAAGTAGCATATGTTGTTAATAAACAGTTGTAGTGATCGAAGCAGTGTCTCAATTGAGAATCTAGTCTTGAAAGGTGCTCCAGAGCATCCGTGTCGCACAGTTTGATAGAAGATACTGCGGCTATTGACGGAGACGCGCACACTCGCTGGAACTAAACTCTGCGTTTGCTGAACTGGTGATGGTGATGCTTGTGTGTTGTGTGTGAGTTTGCCGGAGTCAATGAGTCAGCCGCAAGAATGAGAGGGGTGGAAAAAAACGCATTTGTACATTTATTGTATCAACATTACTACCGTGGGAGTTTACTTTACTGGTCAAGTATTATTATATATAATAACTTGCCAGCGGTCTGACCGGCTTCTATTCGGCGCTGAGACCATACACCAAGTAAATAAATAAATAATTAAAAAGTAAATACAAAAATACATGTAGAGCATACATTAAATTTTACTGGTCGATTCTCGGCTTTGCTTTTATATTAAAAAAGTACTTTACATACACCGATATAACAGTGCACAAGTGGGACGGCTGATTGGCGCAGACTCGTGTTTCAACCCCGCGAAAATCCATACCTATGGACGTCACTTTACTTCCTACGTATATAATTACAATTATTAATTGCTCTAATTTAATTTACATTCTAAAATTCACACTACAAAAAAATGACACTGAAGTTGACAGACATTAAAAATTTTTTTAGAATTTTATGGCAATTAAGTAATTATAAAAAAAATTTAATTAAAAAGTTCCACATGTGAAAATTATTACAATAAAGTATAACACTAAAGTTAGCCGATGTTTTTAATTTGTTAATTTTTTTTCTTTCATTAAACTATAACTAAAATATATATTTTTTTTAATTGCACTTATAGTTTTTCAAATTTTTTACAAATGAAAATTTTAAAAAATTCTAAAAATTTCACATATAGAAAGTTTTAAAAAGTAAACGTGCAATTTTGTAAAAATTTTTTTTGTTTGTTCTAATTTAATTAATAAAAAAAAATGAAAAATTGTTGGACGTCGGTTAATTTTAATATCATGTGAAAATTAATAAAAATTATAAGTGAAAATTTTTAGAAGCATTTTTTTTTATTGTAATTGATTTATTAAAAAACTTTCTAAACTAACAGCTGACGGATAACTTCAGTATCATAAAAACTTTTATGAAAACACCAAGCAAAAACATATTTATTTTTTTCTATTTAAAATCAAAGTCACTCTCCGTATTAGAAGTATTTTTCTCCATCGTGCTTTCAGTGTCAGATTCAAGAATCGCCCTGATAGTGTCTTTAGTTTTTTTCGCGCGGCCATTAACTTCGTCTTTATCTTTCTTGCTAGAATCTATCGGAGATTCTTGATCAGAAGCTTTACTTATCAAATCTTCTTGATAATTATTATCTTCTTCTGCTCCAACAAGATCAACAGGATCAACATCAACAGGACCTACAGGATCAGCTTGAATTAAATCCTCCTGATTCAGCTGTTGCTGCTCCTGATCATAGCCTTCATACTGCTCACCCGGATACTCATAATTAGTATCATAATTTTGTTCAGTATACCCTTCAGGATACTGATACTCCTGATTCGGATCTTCAGCATACTGCTCCTGGTTCTGGTACTCCTGATTCGTTTCTTCAGCGTACTGTTGGTCCTGTTGGTCCTGTTGGTCCTGGTACTCCTGATTCGGGTCATAAGGGTACTGATACTCTCCAGTATTTGGATCATACTGATACTCCTGATTTTCATACTCATAAACTTGCTCTGTATACTCTTTATTCTCCTCATAATTTTCTTCTGGGTAATTCTGCTCACCAACTGTGTAATTTTGGTCGTAAACATTCTCAGCTGCGACAGCACTGTCATTACTCACTTCAGCATCTGGATTTACAACTGGAATTTCATTAACCAAAGCGGTCTGCAATATTTCATCGTCATTACTCACCAACTCGGTCTTTAATTCCAAATTATCATCATTTATATCCAAATCATCAATCACTTTGACTTGTTTCTCCAAATTCTCCGAATTCCAGGGCTCTAATTCACCAGTCTCCTGTAAATTATCATTATCAACCTCTTGCTCCAGACCAACAAGAATTTCCGTATTTAGTTCCTCTTTTTTATCAGAATCAACTATCTTAACTACTTCAGCTTCAACTTCTTTATTTTGATCCTTGTCGCTCAACTCAGTATTGAAATTACCATTAATTCCGTCAGCAATTAACCCGGAAGCTTCTTCCGTCACAGCTGAGTGCACTTTAGGCTCAATAAGTGTCTCGTTCATTAATTCTGATTGATTAGTACAAAGTGTTTTAATTTCTTGGACGGCATTGAGTCCAGTTGGTGCATTTTCATTTAAATCAGCAGTCTTAACCGCAAGATCATCAACAAGTGCCAAAATTTGACCGACTTCCTTGTGAAGATTAAGATTGAGATGCCCTTTAGCTTTTTCTTCAGCTGGCAAGTGGTCAAACCCGTCGTCCGACAGTGTAACATTCAATAAATCACCACTGGTGTTCTGTTCGTGGTCGACCTCCTCCAGACTGTGCTGATCGTTATTATTATCATGGAGACTGCGGATCTTATTAATATAACTCTCCAATTCTTTTTCGACTATGCTGCCAGCATTCTCTCGGAATTGCGGAATTGTCGAGCTCTCTTGGACTTTAGAGCCCAATAAATTAGACAACCTGGAGCTTCCTAGCGTCGTCAATCTCTCTGGGGCCGGGTACTTAAACGTCCCGGAATCCTTGCGAAAATCTCGACGCAATTTAGTTAAGTCAGTTGCGTAATCCTCGTTCCATGTCTTCATTTGTGGGTTCCGTGCCAGAGATTTTGGTGCGTAGCTTCTTTGGTAGTCTACGGAGGGAATTGTTCGCAAAAAAGGCTCGCTGGAGTCCAAGTGAGTTTTGGAGGAGAATTGAAGCGATGGAAGACCGCTGTAAGCTTTTTTGGGCGTACTTGAAGAGCTGTAGAAGTTTCCTGGGACGCTGCTAGTTGCTCGAGGTCCATTGTATGCTTTTAGATTGTCTAAATGAGAGCTTGAGGCTACCTGGGTACTCGAGGCTCCTCTTAACATTAATCTGTCATCGTGTTGGCTTATGATTCCACTGTCACCTGTTACACTCCCCGCTTGACGCCGGCTTGCTTGGGCGCGAAGGATTGACGCTTCGTACTCTTTCTAAATAACATTAAAAGAATTTTAATTGATTTATTTTTAGTTGGGCGTAAGATAAATATGGACTAATGTCAAAATTTTAGATCACAATACTAATTTTAATTAAATTACATTTGAAAATTCTTTATCTCAAGATACATAGTTAAGAAATGACCTTTTATCTTGTCAAATATTGACATTTTTAAAGATATAAGCTCATCCCGATGTTACACTCATCGAAACCTTTCATTTGAGTACCCACGTGCATTTTTGATATATTTTTCATATATATATACATATATATAATATATATAAATATATGAAAAAATGATGTGGGTATTTAAATGAAAGCTCTTGATGAATGTAACATCGGGATGAGCTTATATCTATAAAAACGTCAATAATTAAGAAAGTAAAGCTAAAAAATGATAAAAATTCATATTGTTTATTACACAATCCATAGAAATATATTTAATTTAAAAAATTAATAGATATGTCAATTTTTATAATCAAAAAAATTCTGACATAAATTTATTAAAATAATTAAAAAACTAAATACTAACTCTAAGCGTATAAAGCCTGTCTGTTTTAGCGGTCATTAACGCCAAGCTGGTATCAACTTTATCCAGCGTACCCAGTAATTTATGATTCCTCAGATCTCTAACTCTCTGCTCCTCCAAAAATTCAATATACCGCATCCGCAACTTATTTATACAGGCTTCATGTCTGAAACAATATACAAACAACAATAATATAGATATAACACATGTATCGCTGCTGTTAGAACCGTGTACACATTTATACCCTAACTATAAAACAAAGCTTAGTAGTTAAATGAAATCGACCAGAGTTAGGCATGCTAGAAATGACATTGAATCTTGGAGTAGGCCTGGTACCAACCAGGCTTATGAGTACCGGCATCGATTCAACCAAGGACCGTCTGCTCGGATTTATCACTAGCTGCTCAATGTGAAGATGATTTATTGTGTTTACATTATTATTATTACCATGCGACCCATGCGAAATATTATTGCTCTAGACTATCGATCATGACATTCACTAAACCAGGTCATTTTTCGACCGATATAAGCCGACACAAACTCATGATCTATGCAATGATAAATAAATAAATGACAGCCGGATCTGTGACTGATAATTAACCTTATAATTAATAAAAAATTACAAATAAATAAATTTTAAATTGTTTAATTTAAATAAAAAAGAAATATTTCTTTACCTAACACGCGATTCCTGTTCCATCAAATTAAATCTTTCTTCAAGTCGTATCCTTTCTTCTTCACTGTAAAATAAATAAAATTTTGTCAGAAAAAAATATTTTAAAATTAAAAATTAATTTCATTAAATTAATAATAATAATTAAATTAACAATAATAAAAAATATAATAATTTAATTTAATTAAAATAAAATAAATTTTAAAATTTACCTTTTGCGTAATTTTTCTTGAAGTTCCAACATCTTTTTATAGTAATCGTGAAGAAAAAATGCGGGAGTCATGCTGCAGAAGACACAATCGAGTAGAACATGATCAATAGTAATAAAATATTTATTTTAAAAAAAAAAAAAAAAAAAAAAAAAAAGAAAGAAAAGAAGAAAACTTAAATAAAAGTCGACTGAATAAAATCTAACAAGTTAAGGGTTCCCGCTACCGCAAGCAACTGTCGCATTAGGGAATCGTGGGGTCTACTGTAGGGGTGGTTCTGCTCGCTATACAGGTGTTCTAGCCCCTACCTTTTGCTCAGAGCCCCCCCAGGTTAAACTTGGATACAACAGTTGCTATCTTGTACGACCGGCGCTGATAAAAAATAATTATTTTTTTAATTGCACCACGCAAAATAGCTCCCAGCTGGAACTTTGTAAAGTTCATAAAAGTCTGAGATTATTTCAAGACCGGGGTCTTCTATCGCAATGCCGACTGCGTAGGCCGTTGCATGCAGCCCGGAAATTAAGTTTTACAACTTTAATTTACACTTTTACCTTTTATTAACTTTACAAATAGTTTTTTTATAAATTGTTCAGACATCCTGAGCTCAAGATTGATTATTCATTTATTTTATCACCAATTAACCTAGAATTTAAATTAGAGCTTTAATTTTTTGGCTTGATAATCGTTTAGAAAATTATCGCTAATTTTCTAATTTAATATTCACTCACTCTTTAATCTATTTTTATGTAAGTTGCACGCAAGTGTTCTGTTAAGTCTTGAGTGTTGGATGTTGTCATGTAGATTATTTGCTCCAGGCTATTTTCTTTTCCAACAAATTCTCTTTTTATCTGAAAAAATTAATTAAAATAAATATAATTTGATCATTTTTAACAAATAAATTATTGCAAAAAAAATTAACATTTTTTAAAAATAATTTTTGGAAGAAATTTATTTGTTAATTAAAAATAAAAATTAAGTTAGCCGACATCTATTATTAATGACACTGATGAAGTTAGCAAACGTCTAAAAATTTTTTATTTTTTTTTATTAATTCCTCAGTCTTTAATGCTATCATTAATTAAATTAAATAAAAAAAAAAGAACAAGAAACCATTTTGAACCAACATTCTAAGATGCAAGGTCATTTTTTAATTATATAAATAGGCTAGCTAAAAAATTTTGCTTATTCTCTTAATAATATAAGTTACTGTGCCAAAAATTATATTTTTTTAATAATTTATTTATAATAAAAAAAAAAAAAAAAAAAAATGCCAAATTTCTGAATTCAGTATCTAAATGCTTGATCGAACACTTCCAGGTCAATCATTTAAATCGACTGTTAGGCGACTGTCGTCACTAAGATCAATGTTGACGAGAGAATGGACGATGGTTAGGCTTTTAAAATTTCTCATAAAATAATTTTTAGTTTTAATAATATTGTAGATTAGTTAAATTTTACATCAGCACGATGTCAATGTAATTTTTATTTGAGATAATTAAATTTCTAAGAATGTTTAGGATCTTTTAATTAAAATTGTTGTATCAATGCAGTATCCACGACATCTTGCGCTGATATTAATGTTTATTCCATATATAATTTTATCTAGTATAAGAGCGTTTATTTTAATAGATAATAAGATATTATGAAAAATTAACTCGAGTGAAAAAATAAAACATTATAAATTGTAATCCAGCGTTGTAAATATTTTGATATACATTTATTTACTAAACAAATAAAAATTTACATATTTTAAAACTTATAGAACAACTCGATAATTTTCTTCTTCCGTAAACCATTCCTTATTTTTTTGCACGGTATATTGCCAGTACTCTATTAATATTATAATAATAATAATAATAATAATAATTCATATAATATAACACCCATAATATTTTATTATGTATATATAAAAAAAACACATTGTGTTTTTTTTAAAATATGCGCTTAATTTTTTTTATCTAAAATATTTATTGAAGGTCTTAATAATTTAATACCACATTAAAGTTAGCAGTCTTGACCATTTTTGAATTTTTTAAATTTGTTAAATTTTTTTTTTCAAATTAAATAAAGAAAACTAGCAACTTTGCAGTCACTACGTGACTGCCGTGATAATAAATTAAAATTTTGCTTCATTAAATAATAACTTTTGTTAAATTGTGCTGTAATTTTTTAAATATTGACGTTTTTAAAGATATAAGCTCATCTTGATGTTACACTCATCAAGAGCTTTCATTTGAGTACCCACATCAATTTTTCATATATTTTTTATATATACATATATATGATATATATAAATATATGAAAAATTGATCGGGGTATTCAAATAAAAGGACTTTATGAATGTAACATCGGGATGAGCTTATAATTTATTAATTATTAAATTTTCTAAAAATTATAAGATGTCTCTGAATTTCGGAATCATTTTTAATAATAACAAAATTAGTAGACACGCGTTTTTAAAAACTGTCATTGATAATTTTTAGAGCCTCTAAAAATTAAATTTTTCTTTTAATAACATATTAATTAAACAATTTTTTTTTAAATAATTAGATGTCTCTAAATTTTATTATCATAATTTTCATAAAATATTTTTCTTAAATAAAATATAAAAATTATATATAATACTTAAATTAATCAATCTATATAAATACTGAATAATTAATTTTAAATTCAGATCAAGCATGGAAAAGACTAACTAACAATCACCCGAGAAGTCGACGGAGGTCTAGAAGTTGTAAAAGTAATAACCCCAGCAGTCCTGAGCGCAGATTTGCGCCTGAACGAGCCTCGCTACGCAACTTTGCCGAACATCATGAAGGCCAAGAAGAAGCCAATTGAAAAAGTAACTCTAAAAAATTTGCAGATAGACACAAAAGCCAGGATCGAAGTAGTTTCTGTTGAAGATCCACTGGTGAGACAAGCTAGCTCCATTTTACCCGACGTCGACGCTCTCGTCGGAAAACTCAAAGAAGCTGGTCATGTTTAAATTAAGTACTAAATTCTAAAATGTCTTAATTAATTGTTGAGTATAAAAAGTTAGTAGATTTTTAAATTTTATTTTTTTTATTGGATGGTACAACAAATTTTGTACATTAATTAAAATTTAATACATTTATAATGTGATTTTTGATAAAATTATTCTATATTAATTAATTAATTAATATTCATGCACAATATACATATATATGATAATAACTTTATAATAAAATATTTTTATATATATATAATATAAAAGGATCTATCGCTAGTCTTTGGTTAAACGAAACAGCTCAGGCTGGAATCATTTATCATCAATTCATCACATATTTCTGTTAGTATTAATAATAATAATTAATAATTGCCGTTTTATTTAATTATTTAATTGATTGATTGGTTAATTAAATATTTATTTATTTAATAAACTATTGCGGTAATTGACAACTGGTTTCTAAAATAATTTATAAATTTTGCCGGCGGACAAAATAAAAATCCGATTTTAATATTTGTACTGTCTTTAGTCTTGCTAAGGTAAATGTATTTTTTTTTTTAAATTGGGCTATTTTGTCATAAAAAATTAATTTGAAAATTTTGGTAAATATTTACAAGTGGAGTCAGACTCATTTTGGGTCAGAACTAGGTGAAAAATTAACAATTTTAATATTTTCTTTCACGATAGAAAATGTCGTGAAAGAAAAAAATAAAGATTTTGATAGATTTTTTGCCTTCAAAAGTTGAAAAAAATTTTGGCTTACATGTTTTTCGATGAAATTTCTATTTTATCTTTTTTTGATGTTTTTGATATAATTGTTTTTTTAAAGTGCATAAAAAAATGAAGAATTAAAAAAAAAAAAAGTTAAATATCACAATTTTCTAAAACATTTGTAAATTTTTTTGAAAATTTGTTAAAATTGTGATAAGCAATTTTTTTTTTTAAATAGTTCATTTTTTTATGTATTAAAAAAATATGTATCAATAAAATCAAATAGAAACTTCGTTCAAAAAATGAAAATTAAATGGCTAACCTCAATTTTGGGCCATAGCTAGGTGAAAAATTAACATTTTCAAATTTTTTTAAACTATGCTAGTTTTTACGACGCATTTGTGATAAAAAATGTCGTGAAATAAAAGAATAAAGATTTCGACAGCTTTTTTTTCCTTCAAAAGTTGCAAAAAATTTTGACTCTCATGATTTTGGATAAAATTTCTATTTTATCTTTTTTTGATGTTTTGGATATATATTTTTTTAGAAAAATATAAACAAAAATGAACAATTATAAAAAAACTTGAATATCGACGTTCTAATTAGCAAATGGTCTAACTCTATTTTAGAGAATCTTTGTACTAAAAAAACAATTAGTTCAAAATTTATTTTCACTTTAAAAAACCATTTACTATCATTAATATCTATTAAAGGTATAATATTTTAGTTTGAATCATTCAAATAATTTATAATTGTACTATTGCTGCATCAAAATGTTAAAAAATCACTCCTATAAAAAATAAGGAGAGACAAATTGCTAATTAGACTGTCGATATCACAATTCTCTAAAAAATTTATAAGTTGAACTTATAACTTAGTTTATTTTATGAACTTAAAAAAAAATATATCAATAAAATTAAATAGAAATTTTGTTCAAAAAATTTAAATTAAAATAGTTGATCCTATTTGTAAATATTTACCAAAATTTTAAACAATTTTATTTTTCAGCTAAAAAATAAAATTAATTTATTATTATAAATTTGCAAATTTTTTTTTTCAATATAATTTAAAATTTAAAAATCACCATAATATTAAAATTCATTGTATCACGACAGTCTTTACGATTAATTTAACTGTAATAATAATTAGCACTTGGTATTTAATTTAATAATTAACTGTATATAAAAATTCAAAATTGATAGATAATCTAGACAAGTATTTTCCAATCAAACCTATTATTGCTGGTGTGGGTGATGGGTGAGAAGGGAGGAGGATGTAATTGCCAACCATCAATCTCCTCGCAAGCAGTGAGACAAGCTAAATAAGGAACTCGCTGGACCAACCTTGTAACTTCAGCAGCGGATGGAACTCTCCCTCCAGTGAGCTGTCTGGTACAAGCTGCGAGTGAAGCTGCATGCGCTACGATCAGAACATTCCCGACAGTTCCCTCGATAATTTTTTTAACCAGCCCGTAGCTTCTCTCGTAGTACTGCGCGGCGTTTTCCTTGTCCGGAAGCTGTCCAATCCTGACAATTGGGTGGTAATTTCTGTCTACATTGAACCCGGCCCGGGTCAGCTCCTCACCGGTCATCCAGGCTGGCAACCCGTTAGGGTACCAGGCCAACCATTCAATCAAGCCTGGCTCTACTTTCATTTCAATTGTCGAACCTAATCCCCTTAGAATGTGAGATAGAGTTTGAACGCACCTTAGAGATGGTGAAGCAAAGGCCACGTCTATTTTTACATTTGAGGACTTCATCGCCTCGCCAGTCAAGTGAGCTTGCAGCTCCCCTATAGTGGTCAGTGGACTGTCGTTTTGATAGTCCTGGATATTTCTCACAGGAATTTTTTCCGGCATGTTCAGGTCGCGGCGGATGTAACAGCCGTCTGCTTCGAAGCAGTAGGGAATCCATGCTCCGAATGTGAAGTCTACGCGTTCGCCGTGACGACAGATGTAAATTTGTCTGAGAGAAGTTGCTGGAGAACCCTCGACCTATTAATTGAATATTATTTTATTTTTTTACTTGATAAATTTTTTAAAGTAATTAAAAAAAATTTTTAGATAATTTATCTAGCAAATTAATTAAAATAGCAACTTATAAATAAATAAAATTTTGCTCTATTAAATAATGATTCTTGTTAAATTGCACTGTAATTTCTTAACTATTGATGGTTTTAAAGATATAAGCTCATTTTGATGTTACACTCATCAAGAGCTTTCATTTGAGTACCTACATGCATTTTGATATATATTTTTCATTTATACATATATATAAGTATATGAAAAATTGATGTGGGTACTCAAATGAAAGGTCTCAATGAGTGTAATGTCAAGATGAGCTTATATCTTTAAAAATGTCAATAGTTTACAAGATACGAGTTCATTTCTTTATTATAAAGAATAACATTTCTAATATATCAAGTATAATTAAATACATTTAATAAAAAGTAAAAAATACTTACTGGTTCAGTGTCAGAAGGAAGACCATCAACAATATCCACAGAATCAGTTAAAAAAATAGGCTTTCTACATCTAGGACTTACTACTTCTGCTGTAGCAGAGTAAACAGGCACGACAACTGCCTTATGCAGCGTCCAGGTGCTGGTCACAGCAGTACGCTTGGTAAAATCAACTGGAAACAGTCCTGAGGCACCAGTTGAGTGAGAAACACCTTGGACCCAGCCATCAGCCGAGCTGTCTTCTTGTAAATAAATAAAATCACCTGGTCCCAATTCAAGCTCGTCATTTGCCCGGGGAGTGAAGGGCTGAACAACTTTGTGGACTCTCCAGGCCCGGAACCGCGGGTCGCGAGAGTAGAGTTTAAGCTCCCAGTTACTGGATGACGGGGTTAGTTTCTCTATCATGGAGCGCAAGGCTTGGAAGTGTTGGCTCGAGAACTCGTAGGCCAGAGATACATGCATAGACTTTGTGTCAGCTTCTGCAGTGATTCCTATGTTTGATAACTTCTTGATGAACTTGCTGACAGCTGATTCGAAGAAGCTGGCTTGCTTTTCATTTATGAACAAGCCGATGAAGGTTGGGGAGACATAAAGCTCTAGTTCTACTCGGTCCATGCAGTCGCTTGGTTCTAGTAATGTTTCTAGAGCTTTGATTACTTGTTCTGAATTTTTATCAGGTACCTGAAATTTTTATGACGTTTATTAGAACTTAATTTTTCCAATTTTATTAATTTAAATAATAATTAATTTTATTATTGACAATTTTTTTTCCTCATTCTTTTTTACCATAATTTATTTCTTAAAAAAAAACTATTAAGTGTCTGTTACTTTAACTGTTTTAAATAAAAAATACTAAATTTAACAGACATCTAACAATTTTGAAAATTTTGTAACACCAAAATTATAAGGAAAAATAGTATATTACATACCTAGGCCAGTAAAATAAGAAAAGTCTCAGACCACATGTAATTGTTGGCCGAGGCGAAGCCGAGGTTGACAAACATGTGGTCTGAGGCTTTACTTTTTACTGGCCAAGGTGTGTATACTATTTTTCTGCTCGACGTAGCCGGAATGTGGCAACTTTGTTTAGCGCAGCGGCCAGAAAGTTGCCACTTTTCGGCCGGAGGGCAGAAAAATTTGATTAAAAATTTTAGAAAATTATAAGTGGAAATTTTTTTCAAATATTCTTTCGAATAATTTATTAGCTAGAGACCTTGCAGTCACTGTGTGACTGCCGTGACTTGTGAACTATAAATAAAAGCAATTTTGCTTTATTAAATAATGACTTTTGTTAAATTACACTTTACTTTCTTAAATATTGACGTTTTTAAAGATCCCGATGTTACACTCATCAAGAGCTTCCATTTGAGTACCCACATGTATTTTTATATATTTTTCATATATACATATTTATACATATATAAATATATGAAAAATTGATGTAGGTACTTGAATGAAAGGTCTTGATAAGTGTAACATCGAGATCAGCTTATATTTTCAAAAATATCATTAGTTGACAAGATAACGAAGTCAGTTCTTAATTATTGATATTTTTTAAGATATAAGCTCATCCCGATGTTACACTCATCAAGAGCTTTCATTTAAGTACCCACATTATTTTTTCATATATTTATATATATTATATATATGTATATATGAAAAATATACCAAAATGCATGTGGGTACTCAAATGATATAAATATATTGAAAAATTGATGTAGGTACTTGAATGAAAGGTCTTGATAAGTGTAACATCGAGATCAGCTTATATTTTCAAAAATATCATTAGTTGACAAGATAACGAAGTCAGTTCTTAATTATTGATATTTTTTAAGATATAAGCTCATCCCGATGTTACACTCATCAAGAGCTTTCATTTAAGTACCCACATTATTTTTTCATATATTTATATATATTATATATATGTATATATGAAAAATATACCAAAAATGCATGTGGGTACTCAAATGAAAGCTCTTAATGAGTGTAATATCGGGATGAGCTTATATCTTCAAAAATATCATTGGTTGACAAGAATATAAGGTCATTTCTTAATTATTGATATTTTTAAAGATGTAAGCTCATCCTGATGTAATGCTTATCAAGAGCTTTCGTTTGAGTACCTACATGCATTTTGATATATATATATATATATATATATATATATATGAAAAAATGATGTGGATACTTAAATGAAAGCTCTTGATCAGTGTAACATCGGGATGAGCTTATATCTTTAAAAATGTCAATAGTTTACAAGATACAAGGTCATTTCTTATGTATCTAGAAATAGAATATTTTCGAATGCAGCCTAAATACTTATCATCATAAATCGACTATTGGTGAGAATGATATGAAACCATAAAAAAGTACAACTCTAGGTCAAGACTTTTCCAATCATAAAAACCGATTTTATCATATAAATATACTGGCTGCAAAATTTTGCTTATTCTTTTAATAACATTGATTATAAAAATTGTAAGAATTGTCAGTGATTTGCTAATTTCAATATCATCATTAATACCTTAAAAAAACGGAGTAAAGTGATATGAGGCATATAATCATGAGCTTCATTCCATTCCAATAGTTTGCTGTCTTCCCAAAATTTATTAAGTTTATCAGCAAGCTGCCCCGTGGGACAAGCATACAAAATAAACTCCCTCGGGTTGTCCGCGTCAAGATAAAGGTCCTGGACATGTTTCAATAACCAGTTTGTCGCCAATTCAGCTCCTTGATGTCCTGTAGCTGTCAAAGCTTTTTCCCTGAATAAAAGAAGAAATAAAATAATTTATTTGTAAAATTAAATTTTTAATAATTAATTAAATAAACTTTATAATAGGATTTAAGTTTAGTATTTGGGTCAAGTTTAACAGCTGTTTGTTTACACGCAGCATCGAAACGTCATTATCACATGCTAATGTCAAGAGCACGGAAAATCAATTGTAGTAAAAACAGAATAAGGAGTAAGTATTTATAAATTAAAATAAATGTAGTGTACTTACGCTCTGAGCTTGGAGAATCCAAGTTTCAATAAAATTTCCAGTGGTGTCAGCTGTTTGCAGGGCACTTTCGTGGCCGTTTGACATTTCCGCGGAGGTAGTGTCGTCATAGTTGCACATCACTCGGGCAAATGAAGAGAATACTCCGGAAATAGAAGCAAAAACGTGTTTTTTGAAGGGCAGCTAAAAAAATTCACAAGTAAGCATCCTAGGTCTTGTCCTGAGTCACTGGTTAAATAAAACTCTGCCAGAACTCAGAAGATGGCAGCAAGTTCATTCACGGTCTATATAATAAATAACAAAATAGCCTCTTATTCTTATTAGTGCTTATTATATTATTTTTTTTTTTTTTTTTTTTTTTTTACATTTTTAATAAAGATTAATTAATTTCAATTAAGAATTAATTTATTTCAATTAAAAAACTACTTACTTGCTTTGTACCTGGAGAGTTTTAATCACCTGTCACTTTGTCTAATCAATAGTAGGACTAGCTGAACCAATCTTATCAACAGAAATTAATTTATAAGTGAGTAAATATTTGCATAGAAATTAATTTAGCAGGTATTTGATAATTTTTATAACAAATAAATTATTTAAAAAAATTAGATATAAGGAAATTATTGATGTAATTTTTTAAAATAAATTTTATTGTTGAATAAATTTTTAAAATTGTAAAGTGACAGCTAACTTTAATGTCAATATATTTACATTTGATATTTTACTTCAATAAAATGTCATTTGTCACTTGTCATTTTTGTAATGCTACAATTAGATGAAAATTAATTTAACAGATATATTTAATAATTTAAAAAATTTTTTTAACAAATAAATTATGGCAAAAAAATGACATGTAGAAATTTTAAAAAATTATAAATGCAATTTTATGAAAATTAAGTTAGCCGATATTTAAAAATTTTAAAAATTTTGTTGACACTGAGAATTTTTTTAGCATCTGTTATTCTTATTACTAATGATAATTAATGATTAAGTTATTCATTGTTTAGTAAGAAATTAATTAGTTAATTAGTAAATCAATTAACAAATTCATACATTAGATTCAATTAATTAAGCCTTTAATTAATTCATTAATTTTCTACATTTATTAACAAATAAATGAAGAAAATGTATGAGATTTATTTTTCTGTGTATGTGATACATATATTTTTAGTATCATATTAATATAAAAAAATGAAATAAGCTACAACACTTGATGTAGAATACGGCTCGCAATAGTGATTAATTAAATCGTTCACTACGTCGATTTATTCATTAGCGATCGTTTTGTTTTTTTCTTATCCTTGTATATACACTGTATAAGTTAAAAGAATTATCATGCAATGCGTAATCGCAATTAGATATAATCAATTATTTACTTATCACTAAAAAATTTAAATATTTGTTAAATATTTTTTTTCAGTGGTTTTTTTTTAAATAACTTTTAAACGACGTTATCAATCAAATCCAAAAACTAATCAGCTCTAAAGCTTGAAAAACCACGTATCAATCGCTGCTAATCCGGTGAAAATCGGTTGATTCGTTCGAGAGATATCGTGCGTTTTTTGGAATGTAAGACTCGAGGTTTATATTTTATATACCACTCATATTTATTTATACATCTACAAGTAATAATAACCCGACAATGACTACGGAATGAAATAGCTAATGAAAGCCAATATAATTAAGGGATGACAATGACTGGGTGGCATTGTCCTAGGAACCATCGCGTGAGGTCCTCATGGAGGGTAGCGTCGGAATGCCCCTAACAATCTCTCTCATAGTCCTCTCAACCCTCGTTGAGTGGGGGCGAGTCTTGTCACGAGCTGGGGGTAAGACCTTACGTCACAGATCTCGGGCCTCACGATACTCGACAGCCTTCAGCCTCGGCAATAAGAATAGCGTTGCTTACAGGAATAACTTTTAAACGGATTTGCCGATCAATTTCAAAAACTAATCAGCTCTTAACATCAAAAAACGACGTCGATTGCTGCCAGTCCGGTCAAAATCGGTTGATTCTTTCGTGAGTTATCGTTGACGAAAGAAAACCCAAAAAAGCGTTTTTTCGGAATTACTCCAAAATTTTAAGTTCTATCAATTTAAACTTGAAGTTTCTTCATAAAGCTTAAAAAATTGCGTCGAATGCCACCAACTGCGTGAAAATCGGTTCATTTATTCAAAAGTTATTGCGATTTGAAAATTCAAAAAATGTTCAAAAAATAGTGTTTTATCAAACGTCTACCAAACTTTTGAGCTCGACGAGCTCAAAAGCATTCAAAGGCTATTTTTTTGAGCTCGGAAAACTCAAAATAACATACAAATTGTATTTATGAGCTCCAAGAGCTCAAAAACTTCATAAGTGCAATTTCAAGCGTTTAGGTATAGAATTGGCGGGAAGTTGCAGGGATGGCCTTCAGGGTCAACTGTTTTCCTAATTTTTTTTTTTAATAAAATCAAAAATAATTTGGTCGGACAATTTTGTACAGATTGAAGACGTCCTTACAGAGAATCACCCATATTTATTTCCCTCCACAATTGGGCTACTTCAGCGCTGCTCATCAGCGGGTTTTAGAATAAACTCCCTGGCAACACTGTGTCATATTAGCAACTATGGAGTGTATAGTCTCCATATTTATGGAGGGTAGAGGTACCTCTACTCACCATATCCATATTAACAACCATAGCTATATAGTAGATGGTGCCAAGCAGCATAGAGCAACATTTCGTATCAATTAAACATAGCAAAAATAATATTAAAAATATAAACATTCAACTTATTAACACTATTTACACTTGAATTTGTATTAATAGGATTGCGGATTGTTTATTAAAAAAGCAGATTATTGTTAATAAAGCGGTGATGCACAACAAGTGGCAGTAGCCAAGAGGTCGAAAAATTTTTTTCCTCCTACTTGGCCCTCTGTAGCTTCATTTCTGTTGAGTTTAGAAAAAAAATAAACATCCACAATTTTGTAGAAAATTAAATATTCTGTAAGATAGTTGAAACCGAAATTAAAAATAAATTTTGTTCATGTAGTTATTTTAAAAATGAAAAAAAAAAAAAAAAAAGGAAATTTAACAATGTTATTTAAATGGGGAAGGAGATCCCCCCCCCCCCCTTTGCGCCAACTCAATTTTTAAGATATTAAGCTTAAACTTTAGGAGAATTTTTTTTTATATTGAAGAAACTTTTAAGATATCAATACTGCCATTCTAATACATCGTATCCCACATTTAGAAAATTTTACAGCAGGCGGTAAAAACGAATCTTTTTCAATTCTTCAGGAGTTCAGAAATTCTTAAATTATTTTAAATGTTATGTAAAGATTTTTTGTCTTTACACATTTAATTAACTATATTAAAAAATTGATTATAATTTTTTTTTATTTTTAATTATAGTATAAATTTTTCGAGTGTGAAAATTGTCTCTCGTTTGGCTCTTTAGTTTAGGGCCCAGATACATTAAAGGCATTACAATCCAAATAAATAGAAAAAAATGGTAGTTTTGTTATATGTAAATAAACTTACTTATACTTGAAATAAAAAATACCTAAGTAATGACAAAGAACATTAAAGAAAAGGATTTACCTCAAACAGAAAAATTTTAGAGTAACAATATTCAGATAAATTTTTAACAATACTCACTTAGAAAATCAAAATTTACGTGTATTTTAAATAAGAAATCTTCGAATTTTAAGATGTTTATAATCAGATTTATCTTGAAAACAATCAACTCTACGGGTATGACTGATCTAACTTGATTTGTAGAAAAATGAATTTCTTATTGAAAAGTATTTGTACAATTTCGTCGTAAAACCAGTGTTTTACGAGAAAAATTGAAAAAAAAACTGATAAATTTGAGCAAAAATTGACTCAAGAATTTTTTAGCAGTAAGACGGTTTAGAGAACATAAATTAGCCGTAGACATTTTCAAAGATTTGTCTACTATTTAACGTAAGGCCGATAAAGTAACATTGAAGTATTTGAGAATTGAGTATTCAATACTTTTAAATTCCACTTTGGAATTGTAAGATACTGAAATAATGAAAGATTAAATCATTTTCAATACTTTTTAATTCCATGATCAGAATAAGAAAGTATTCAAATGATCGAAGTTTCAATTCCATTTAATATTTTTCAAAATCTCCGTATGGATTGAAAAAATTTTTAATAATTTTCAGTACTTTTCAATGAGTATTTTTAATCAGGGATAATTAATCAATAAATAATAAAAAATTAGCAAAGCATCATTTTTTCTTGACCAACATGTTTCAGATCACACTTATTCTCTTCGCCATCATCATCGGTACCAACGGCAAAACCTATAATTGGAAGGACTGCGATGAAACCAGCGAAATCCCATTCAAATTCGAGGTCCAATTCTCCATAAAAACCCCCTCAAAAACAGTGAAAGAAATTGAAACCGTGAACCGGACTGTAAAGTTCACAATTGAAGTTACCAAGAAAATAGTATACAGTAAACTTTTGATTACAACCACAAACAACGGCGTCGTAACCTTGGATCGCACTTTGGCAAAATTAAATATTTCGAACAAGGAATTCATCAGCGATCACTTCTTCAATAGTTCTGAGCACGGTATAGTGAGTTCCGTCAATAAAATAAGAATTAACTCCAAAGAAGGTCGTCGATACATTGATTATTCAACGAACAGTTCCGATCCAAGTTGGGATAAAATTGTCGAGAGAAGATACGATAATTATGATAACACAGAGCACACTGTTTTGAACTTTAAACCCAATGGTACAGAAATTCATCGAACAATAGAGACTGGGAACAGTGACGGAAGTATAACCGTTCAACATTCAAAGGAGACTAAGGAAGGCGAGACTTTTGTAACTTTTGAGCACTGTGTTGCGGAAATCAACAGGAACAACTGGACTTCTTTCGACCAATCAGTATCAACTATCTGCGGCGGAGAAACTAAAGCAGTTGTTAGAACGATTGCAGTTTCCAATTCTCAAAATAATTCTATGGCTATTGATCACTTTGTTCAGGAAAAGGATGTTAATGGTGGTCAAATTAATGAGCGGATCAGCGGGATTGTTGCTGATAATGGCACTGTGCTCAGCTCGGAATCATTGGAATCAAAAACAAACGTAAAAAGAGATTTTGCTGCTTCAAAAGGGATAAAGAATCTCGCAAGAGTTCATCTCAAGTTTATTACGCTGCAAAATATTAAAAAAGAGCTGTCGAATATCGTTCAGAAGCTTCGGAAGGGTTGGAGTATTTTTAGTGACCTGTAAAGTTTTTGTACATTTAATAAAAAATAGTTTTTAAATTAATAACTACTTTTGTTTGTTGATTTTTAGGTAGATTTCATAGAAATCGACCTTTTGCATTGGTCCTCATATCGGAATTTTTGAATATATATATATAATTAATTAAATCAAACGGCAATTATTAATTATTATTATTATTAATACTAACAGAAATATGTGATGAATTGATGATAAATGATTCCAGCCTGAGCTGTTTCGTTTAACCAAAGACTAGCGATAGATCCTTTTATATTATATATATATATATATAAAAATATTTTATTATAAAGTTATTATCATATATATGTATATTGTGCATGAATATTAATTAATTAATTAATATAGAATAATTTTATCAAAAATCACATTATAAATGTATTAAATTTTAATTAATGTACAAAATTTATTGTACCATCCAATAAAAAAAATAAAATTTTAAAATCTACTAACTTTTTATACTCAACAATTAATTAAGACATTTTAGAATTTAGTACTTAATTTAAACATGACCAGCTTCTTTGAGTTTTCCGACGAGAGCGTCGACGTCGGGTAGAATGGAGCCAGCTTGTCTCACCGGTGGCTCTTCAACAGAAACTACTTCGATCCTGGCTGTTGTGTCTACTTGCAAATCTTTTGGAGTTACTTTTTTAATCGGCTTCTTTTTGGCCTTCATGATGTTCGGCAAAGTTGCGTAGCGAGGCTCGTTCAGGCGCAAATCTGCGCTCAGGACTGCTGGGGTTTTTACTTTTACTACTTCTAGACCACCGTCAACTTCTCGGGTGATTGTTAGTTCACCTTTTCCATGCTCGATCTGAATTTAAAGTTAATTATTCAGTAGTTATTGTAGGTTGATTGATTAATTTAAGTATTATATATAATTTTTTAATTTATTCAAAAAAAATAACTAATGAAAACTATGATATTGAAATTTAGAAACATCTAATTATTTAAAAAAATTTTTTAATTAATAAATTATTAAAAGAAAAATTTAATTTTTAGAGGCTAATTTTATTATCATCAAAAATGATACCGAAATTCAGAGACATCTTATAATTTTTAGAAAATTTTTTAATTAATAAATTATAAGCTCATCCCGATTTTATACTCATCGAGACCTTTTATTTGAGTATCCACATCAATTTTTCATATATTTATATATATTATATATATATGTATATATAAAAAATTGATGTGGGTACTCAAATGAAAGCTCTTGATGAGTGTAACATCAGGATGAGCTTATATCTTTAAAAATGTCAATAGTTAAGAAACTACAGTGCAATTTAACAAAATTAAGAAATGACCTTGTATCTTGTCAACTATTGACATTTTTAAAGATATAAGCTCATCCTGATGTTATACTCATCTGATGATTGTAATTCATTAAAAATTGTATTGATATTTTTATAAAATTTCAATAATTTGAATATTATATAAATTATAAATATTTTATAAAATTCTTACTTTGCTGCAAAAAGTCCCAGCAGGCCAGTCCAAAATACCAGCAGTCATTTGAGCAGTCTGGTTACAATCGTCATCAATAGCCTGCTTCCCAACAAAAACAATGTCTGCCTTCTCTTCTTGGGCCAACTTGGCCAGAATCTTGGAGACGTGGAGAGGCTGAAGAGTCTCGTACTCAGCTCCAGAGACCTCGACGTGGATACCCCGGTCAGCGCCCATCGCCAGCGCTGTCCTTAAAGTCTCTTGGGCTTGAGCAGGCCCGCAGCTGACGGCAATAACTTCGTCCGCTAATTTTTTCTCCTTCATTCTCACAGCCTCCTCGATCGCTATCTCATCGAACGGGTTCATGGAGTGCTTAACCCCTTCGGTTACCACGCCAGTCTTATCTGGCTTCACGCGAATCTAGTGCAGAGAATATTATGCATTTAATTTACATTTTAACTCATTACAATTATAATATAATATTAAAAATTATTTTTATATATTATAACTTACCTTTACTGCATAATCAATTACTCGTTTAACTCCAACAAGAACTCGAGACATTTTTTTAGTATTTAAATGTAGAACACTGAAATTATTAACAATCTGGTAGCTGATTGTCCCAGTTAAACTAATCTTGATTCAGTATTCAGTCACTTTGGTCTTCATTTAGGGAATCATTATTAACCAATACCAACGCAGGGTTCATAAGTCCAATATTTTTCTCTAATTGTTAAAAGTGGGGAGAAATTACGACATATAGCGTTGACAACAAGGTATTTATTCTTGAAGATAGACTTCTGGTTGAGTAACGAATGTTCAGTGAAAAAGTTTTTACACGTATACAATGCTACAGTAGCTAAAAAGAATTTCTACTATACAGATAATTTTTGAGCAGGACAGCAGGACTATAAATCATGATGATTCTGAAGTTAGCAGACTTCTAAAAATTTTTAATTGTTTTTTTTTAATTAAATTACAACTAAAAAAATATTTATAAAAAATTGCACTTAAAGTTTTTCAAGTTTTTAACATGTGATATTTTTTTTTTTAATTATTTAATTGAAATTTTTTCGATAAAAAATTTCTAAAAATTTTGAAATGTCAGCTAACTTTATTTTCATTATAAATCTTATAAATCTAATATAAGAGTGTATTTGTTTAAGATTGTATTTGTGATACTGAAGTTAGCTACATTAGAAGTATAAAACTTATAAAATAAAATTGAGATTAATCAACTATTCAATAATATTTTTTTTCAGTATTAAATCATGTCATAAAAAAATCTATTTTTTACTTTTCCAGGTGAAAACTCGAAAGAAAGATTACGGAAAATCTTCCGTCAAAGGAGCTCAAGAGAAATATTGCTATCATGGATAAACAAATCAGATTTGTCAAATCTACATTACATCTCTTGATGAAATTCTTGATCTTAAATTAATATTCCACTGTCAGAGTTTGCAAAAGTTGCGTCTCAGATGTGTATGATCAGAAAGAATTTGTTATTTTAGAAAATCTGTGAAATAAATATCAAATTTCCAATTTTAGTCCATCAGTATCTTTCAAATGAAAATTAATTTAACAGATATTTGATAATTTTAAGAATTTTTTTAAACAAATAAAAACAAGTAGAAAAAAAATTGATATGTAGAAATTAAAAAAAAAAAATAAAAAATGCAATTTTTTTAAAATAACTTTTTGGAAAGAATTTATTTGTTTAAAAAAATTAAAAAGAAAATTTATTAAAAAAATTAGAAAACTTGAAACTCTAATTTTTGAAGTATACGTATTAATATTTATCAGTCCAAATGATTAACTCTTTTTTAAAATTTGCATGAACAGATATTTTTAAAAATTTCGCAACGAAAATTATGAAAGTGTCCACTGAACATGCCAATTAGTCCTTTATGTTTATTTTAAAATCAAGCCTGTCGTTAATTTTTTTTTTTTTTTATTAAATATTTAATTTTTGCTGGCATTCAGTATTATAATTAAAAAATTTTTTTTAATACTCAATTTTTAGTTAAATTTTACATCAAATCTCTTCTCCTTTATTTAAAAATTAATTTTTCATTAAAATCTTAAAACAAATTGTCAATAAAAGTATTATTGCTAAAAATTCAATGTCAAGAGTCACATCAGAAAAAAATTGTTATTCTAATAAATTAACAATTACCAAAAAGTGAATTTTTAATAATTAAAATAAATATTTATCACTGTATAACAATAACAAAATTCACAGTATTATTGTTTATTGTTTATAAAAATCCAAATACAAACAATTCACTAAAATGCATTGCAAAACAAATTTGTAGGTTAAAAAAATTTTACTTATCAATTATTCGTATTTTTATCTTAATTAGTTGATTTAAAAAGACGTAATAATATTATGCAAAATTTTTTAAATGTATGTACAATTGTTGAGAATAATTAACTGAAAAAAAAAAAAAAAAAAAAAACTCAAGTACATATAATCATATCACATATTTATTTATTTAACGTATTTAAATTTGACAGAATGGAAGTGACCATAGCGCATGCGCGTTTATTCTCATCCACGGAAAAGGTAATAATCTGTTGTTCCCATTACTGTAAGTTATCAAAACGTTCACGCAATGACGTGGCCGATGACGGCTCTGTGAAATATCAACCATTAATTATTAAACGTGAAATAAAATGTTAATTCACAAAATAGCTGTGCGCGAATAATTAGTTCTTCAACAAAAAGTCACAAATACTCTTTTAAATAATAATACAGTAAATTTAAAAATACTTGCACACTATTGAGGTAAGTTTAACACGTTTAACCTAACCAGTCTGTTGGCATAATCTTAATTATTTATCATAAGATAAATAATACGCGTATTCGTGTCAAATAAATTAACCTTGGATCCATTTTTGGACAACTGATAGTGATATTTCCTCTTTTTAGCAAGATGACCACCTACGAAGACTTTATTCAGCAGAATGAAGACCGGGATGGAGTACGGTTTACGTGGAACGTCTTTCCTTCTTCGAAGGTCGAGGCTACCAGGATGGTCGTACCCCTGGGGACTCTTTATCAGTTGATCAAGGAGCGCCCCGATTTGCCTCCAATTATGTACGATCCTGTTTTGTGTACCAGGTCCACGTGCAGGGCTATTCTTAATCCCCTCTGTCAAGTGGACTATCGTGCCAAGCTTTGGGGATGCAACTTTTGCTTCCAAAGGAATCCAGTAAGTTATTCGTCAATTTTTATTTGTTTTTTATTATTGTAAGACTGAAATTTATTTTATTTAAATATGTGATTTTTTTTTAATAGTTTCCTCCACAATATGCTGCTATTTCGGAGCAACATCAACCAGCAGAACTCATTCCAATGTTTTCTACAATAGAATATACGATAACGGTAATTATTTTTTTACAGTGTTAATTATTGACTTTGACTCTGAATTCAGCAGACATTCATTAATTTTTTAAGTAAATGAAATAAAAAATAAGTTAAAAGTAAAAAATGCATATTTAGGGTCGGGTATTTTTTTTTAATAAAATCAAATTTTTTTTCTAATTTAGTATAAAAAAATATATATATATGTATTTTTCTAAATTATAACTTTTTATTTAAATCAATTATTTATGAAAATTAAGTTAGCCGATATTTAAAAATTTTTATAATTTTTTTTTTTATCAAAAAAATCATTACAAAAAAATAAAAAAAAATTTCATTTGTAAAAAACTTGAAAAACTTTAAGTGCAATTTAAAAAAATATTTTTTTTTGTTCTAATTTAATTATTTAAAAAAAAAAAAATCAAAAAATTAAAAACCCCGGCTAACTTTATTATTATAATTATCTATGAAAATGTTTACAATTTTTTTTATTATTAATTTTTTCTATTAAAAAAATTATTACAAAAAAATTCCACTTATAGAAAATTTGAAAAATTATACCTGCAATTTTTTTCAAATATTTTTTTTTAATTGTTGAAAAAAAAAAAAAAAAATGTTAAACGTCGGCTAATTCTAGTACTATAATTATTTCTAACAATTATCAATTCTTAAAAATTAAAAATTTTTAATTTATTTACTTTCAATTAAATTCAATTTTTAAATAATCACATTGTCAAAATAATTATTAATAAATAATACAAAATTAAAATTAACAATAAATAATACCAAAATAATTCAACAGAGAGCACAATGCTTACCTCCAATATTTCTCCTGGTGGTGGACACATGCATGGACGAAGAAGAACTCGGAGCATTAAAAGACTCTCTCCAAATGTCCTTATCACTACTCCCCCCGAGTGCGCTGATCGGCTTAATCACATTCGGAAAAATGGTCCAAGTCCACGAACTAGGCTGCGAAGGCTGTAGCAAGAGCTACGTATTTCGCGGAACTAAGGACCTGCAGCCCAAGCAGGTCCAAGACATGCTAGGCATCGGAAGACAAGCTCCCGGGCAAGGTCAGCAGCGAGCCCCAACAGGGCAGCCACTTCCCCCAGCAAACAGGTTTCTCCAACCCGTTCACAAGTGTGACATGAGCTTGACCGACCTCTTAGGAGAGCTTCAACGGGACCCTTGGCCCGTAGGAGTTGGTAAAAGACCCTTGCGTTCAACCGGAGTCGCTCTGGCCGTCGCAACTGGTCTTTTAGAGGCGAGTTACGCAAACACTGGAGCCAGGATAATGATGTTCGTCGGTGGACCTTGCTCTCAAGGTCCCGGACAAGTTGTGACTGACGAGCTCCGGCTGCCGATTCGGTCCCATCATGACATCCACAAGGACAACGCCAAGCATATGAAGAAAGCTACCAAGCATTATGACGCTCTAGCAGCTCGTGCTGCAGCAAATGGTCATATTATTGACATCTACGCCTGCGCTTTGGACCAAACTGGACTCCTGGAGATGCGACAGTGCTGCAACTCCACCGGGGGGCACATGATCATGGGAGATTCCTTCAATTCTTCGCTTTTCAAGCAAACTTTCCAGCGAGTTTTTGCAAAAGACGCGAAAAAGGACCTCAAGATGGCGTTCAATGCCACCCTGGAGGTCAAGACCTCCCGGGAGCTTAAAGTTTCAGGAGTAATTGGACCCTGCGTGTCCTTAAACATGAAAGGTCCTTGCGTTGGTGAGCAAGAAGTCGGACTGGGTGGTACTTGTCAGTGGAAGTTCTGCGCCTTGATGCCCTCGACCACCGCCGCAGTATTCTTCGAGGTTGTTAATCAAAATTCAGCTCCCATTCCGCAAGGAGGTCGCGGGTGCATCCAGTTCATCACGCAGTATCAGCACAGCAGTGGTCAGCGGAGAATTAGAGTCACTACTGTGGCGCGTAATTGGGCTGATGCCTCCACGTCGCTGCATCATATTAGTGCTGGCTTTGACCAAGAAGCTGCTGCTGTCTTGATGTCTAGATTGGCGGTAAATCGCGCAGAGAGCGATGATGGCCATGATGTTCTGCGCTGGGTTGATAGGATGCTCATCAGACTGTGCCAGAAGTTCGGGCAGTATGATAAGGATGATCCGAATAGTTTTAGATTGGCGGAGAATTTTTCGCTGTACCCGCAATTCATGTATCACTTGCGCAGGTCCCAGTTCCTGCAGGTGTTTAATAATTCGCCTGATGAGACAAGCTTCTACAGACACATGCTCATGCGTGAGGATCTTACTAATTCTTTGATCATGGTGCAGCCGATTTTGTACAGCTACGGGTTCAATGGGCCCCCCGAACCTGTCCTGCTTGACACTTCTTCGATTCAACCGGATAGAATTTTACTTATGGACACTTTCTTCCAGATTCTTATTTTCCATGGAGAGGTATTTATGAAATTTTGAGTTATTGAATAATGACTTTTGTTAAATTGCACTGTACTTTCTTAAATATTGACATTTTTAAAGATATAAGCTCATTCCGATGTTACACTCATCGAGAGCTTTCATTTGAGTACCCACATGCATTTTCATATATTTTTCATATATACATATATGTATATAAATATATAAAATATATGAAAAATTGATGTGGGTACTCAAATAAAAGGTTTCGAAGAGTATAACATCGGGATGAGCTTATATCTTTAAAAATGTCAATAATTGACAAGATACAAGGTCATTTCTTAATTTTGTTAAATTGCACTGTACTTTTTTAACTATTGAAATTTTTAAAGATATAAGCTCATCCTGATGTTACACTCATCAAGAGCTTTCATTTAAATACCGATATGCATTTTCATATATTTTTCTTATATACATATATATAAAATATATAAATATATGAAAAATGCATGTGGGTACTCAAATGAAAGGTCTCGATGAGTATAACATCAAGATGAGCTTATATCTTTAAAAATGTCAATAGTTCACAAAATACAAGGTCATTTCTTAATTATATATCTATGAGATAGAGCATTTTCAAATTTATAAATAATATTTTTATTTAGACAATAGCACAATGGAGGCAATTGAAGTATCAAGACCAACCAGAATACGAAAACTTCCGTCAATTATTAGCAGCGCCTGTGGACGACGCTGCTGAAATTCTAGCTGGAAGATTCCCAGCTCCGCGTTACATTGACACGGAACAAGGTGGTTCCCAGGCTAGGTTCTTGCTCAGCAAGGTCAACCCTAGTCAGACGCATAACAATATGTACGCCTATGGAGCGGTAAGTTAAAGAGCGATAATTTTAATAATTAAAAAAAAATCAATTAGTCTAGTTATCATCACATTAGTCACAGTTCACCTGTGAATGTGAAAGTTTGAAAGTTCTTTTTTTTTTAATCATTATTTATTTTTTTCACCATGATCCTGTGAACCAGGGGATGCCGTTGCCAAGCGGGGTGTGTTTTATTTTAAAAATTTTTTTTTTTTATTTCGTTTAATGTCAGTTAACTGGTATGGGGAAATAAAATAATCGCTTTTACCCACTAACTAATCAATCACCATTTACCTGCAGATATCATTTATGTACTTACTTATATTGACGTAATCACTATTAAGTGATTAGTAAATATTTTAATCAGTTGATTATATATTTAATTAAAATTAATTAAACTTAGATGGTTAATTATAAATCTATTTGTTCTCATTCAGGAAAGCGGAGCACCTGTGCTAACTGATGACGTCAGTCTCCAAGTATTCATGGAACATCTTAAAAAATTGGCCGTTTCGTCACAAGCTTAAGAGACCCATAGGATCCAATTTTAAAAATAAATATTTCTTTTATATATAAATCAATAATATTCAAAACTAATTAATTAGTTAATTAAGTTATAATTATAAATAAATTGCAATTATATTGTCCTTGTATCTGATTCCAAGCAATGAAAATCAATTCAATGCGACTTATTTTTTTTTACTTACTCTGGGTACATCAAATTTATTATTTGTAATTATAATTAATAATTAATAATATTACTATTCAGATTTATATGCTGTATATTTACAATTCATTTTATTATTTTTTAAATATTCATATTTATTTGTAATAGAAAATTATCAATTTTTATTGTATGTACTAAAAACAAAAATGAGGACTTTTTATGAATTAAAATTAAGTTAGCCGACATTTAAAAATTAAAAAATTTTTTTTTATTGAAAAAATGACTAAAAAAAAATTGTCATTTGTTAAAAACTTGAAAAACTTTAAGTGCAATTTTAAAAAAATATTTTTTTGTTGTAATTTAATTAAAAAAAAAAAAAAAAAAAAAAAAAAAAAAATTAAAAACTTCGGCTAACTTTAGTATCATAAATTAGTCGATAATTTTCAGAATTTTTTTTATTAGTAAAATTATTACAAAAAAATTAAAAGAAAAAATTGCACATGTAAAAAATTTGAAAAACTACACATGCAATTTTTAAAAAATATTTTTTTAGTTCTAATTTAATTAATGAAAAAAAAATCAAAAAATTAAACACGTCGGCTAATTTAATTTTCATTTTATGATTAAATATTAATTAGAAAATTATTTTTAATAAATATTAATTATGGGTTTAATAATTTGTAGAGAAAAAAAATTTTTTTTAAATTGACATTTTAATTTAGCACTCAAAAAATAAGTACAAAGTTCATTTAAATTATCTTTTTAACCAAGAGTAATTGTCATAAAAAGTATTGGCCGATAATTATTCGTATGTGATTGAATGTTTGGTAAAATGAGCTTTAAAAAAATGATGGTTCAAATGAAATATATAAGCAGCCAAGTTGAAAAAAAAAAAATATAAATAATAATCACAATAATTAGCTAAAATTTGATCAATTAATCTCAATTGTTTGAAGACATTTACTACTATGGCATCAGCAGTTCACCCGTCAAATAAATATTTATATATTATAATTATAATATGTCAAGTACTATTTACACTTGGTTAAGCTATGTAGAATTATTTTAATCAATTAAATATAAATATGTATAATAAATTCTTTCTAACTAAGAAAACGTATCGACATCTTTTGCTCGACGTCCGTCCTTTCGAGTACTTTGCAAAACTCCTCAAACGAAATCATGTTGTCACCGTTTTCGTCTGCTTCTACTATTGTTCTTTCCACAATACTGTTGAGTTGTTCTTCACTGTAATTTTATTCATTATTATTATTATTATTATTTTTAAGCATTAATTAATACATAAATAATAATTTTTAATTTTACCTTATATTAGCACCGACCATCATGTGTAAAATGGCCAAAAGTTCATCTTTGGAGATCATTTCATCGTTATCTAAGTCATACATTTTAAAAGCGACTGAAAATATAAATAATATAATAAATAATTGATAAAAAATAAAATTAGCAGACAGCTGATAATTTTTCTTTTTAAAAAATATTACATTAAAGTTAGCAGTCATTTGACTATTTTTTAATTTTATTTACAAGAAAAAATTTGTCCCAAAAAATTATTTTAAAAAAATTGCATTTTTTATTTTTTTAAATTTCCAAATGTAAATTTTTTTTTCGCCATAATTTATTTGCTACAAAAATTTTAAAATTATTAAATATATATTAAATAAATTTTCATAAATAAAAATCAAAGAGTATTTTTTAAAAATTGCACTTATAGTTTTTTATAAATTAAATTTTTTTAATAAAAAAAATTTCTAAAAATTTTTAGATGTCTGACTTAATTTTTATAAAAATCTTACTACCTAAAAATGTTTAAAATAAATTTATTTTAAAATAAAAAAATTCTTACATCTCAATTTTTCCTGTCTAGAGTTCAACCTATTGGGACTGTGTTTTTTGATAGGCCTAAACAGAGCAAGAACTTGCATAAATTGCAAAAAATTGACCCTGTCATTACCGCTCTCCTCGAAGAAAGCATTGACAATTCTTTCACCGAGAGGATTAATCGCCAGTTCAGGAATCCTGAGAAAATCCTCCCGACTCAAAGTTCCACAGTCGCCCCGGTCTAGGCTCGTAAATCTGCTGTACAGCCGTTCGATTTGGTTCGGAGTGACTGAGAATAAAAATAAAAAATATCACAGTCAATAAATAACAAACCAAACAAAATTATCGACAAAACTTACATCCAGTAGCTTCTTGAATCTGAGCGATCTCCTCTTCACGCAAAAGTAAACTCGATTTGTTCCCCATTATTGTATGTCGTATTTCCTTTAAATTAAATGATTGCAGACTAACAATGGTGAGTAAACCTCCTGCTAAATCACGATATTCACCAACACTTTTTATTAAATTAATATTCACTCCTTAGCGTATACATTATCATTCAATGATGAGGGCAAAGTACGCTTAAATAATTTTACTAGCTGCTTACTACAATAAATCAATTTTCGTGTGACAGCTGATAGGTTAGACTCCCATTACAATCCATGCACACATATATAAACATACAAACACACTCTTTAAGTTTGAAGTCGCGGCCATTTTGGTTCAGTGCCGAATTAACCAGTAGCGTCCCCTGAGCTGTCATTTTTAAATTTATTTCCAACGGACCAGCATTAATAACAACCTTTCAGTTCCCGGGTTCTGAAAAAACTAAAATATAATTAAAAATAAATTATTTTATAATTACTTACAAGGAATAATTACTAGTAAGGAGTAAAATTACCCGGCGACGTGATTGATTAACTTCAAGGTCATGGTTTGTTATTTAAATTTTTTTGCTCGAGTAAAAATTAGCTAGGAGCGGGGGCGCCCGATTGTGTATTCGGTCATTCATAACAATGGCGGCATTGAAAGCAAGTGTTTGCTGATGATGTCTTGTGTCTTGTGTGTAACTTGTTATATACTGATTCTAATAATATTTTATTGAAAGCTGCGCTACATCTGTTATAGATACTGAATATATGGATATTAATAGCTGTTATTAAAACAACCGGGAGTTTAGTCTGGTAATATTTAATATTTAATACTCAGCACACATTACGTCTGCGAGCGTGCTAATACACATACAGATTAAATGCTGAATTATTCCTAAGCTAGTTTGTTTGGATATATACCTATAATAACAAGTGCCTTAATTCGTTTACATCTTCACGTTATGGAGGAGAGGTAAGACCTGTTTTGTTTGTTATTATTCAATGATACTCTAGTCACACTAGACACCTGATTATTTTTTAGTTTTATTTCAAATAGAGAATTCAATTCATTCTGGGCTAACAAAAATTTTATTCTAATTTTTTTTTGTAGTAATTTATTTTTAATGATACTGAAAATTGGAAACATCTGATAATTTTCAGAAATTTTTTTTACTGATAAATTATTGTCATATAATAATTATAGTTATATAATAAAATTGGTTTTTTTTTAGTGAAATTTAGAGTTATTGCAAAGATTTTGACTTGAATTTGTGCCTTTTCAAGGTTTCATATCATTCTTATAGATCATTTATTTTAAAAAAGTATTTAGGCAGCATTAAAAAATATCTCTAGATACAATATTAAGAAATGACCTTGTATCTTGTCAACTATTGACATTTTTGAAGATATAAGCTCATCCTGATGTTATACTCATCGAGACCTTTCATTTGAGTACCCACATCAATTTTTCATATATTTGATATATATATTATATATATGTATATATGAAAATGCATGTGAGTACTCAAATGAAAGCTCTTGATGAGCGGAACATCAGGATGAGCTTATATCTTAAAAAATGCCAATAGTTAAGAAAGTACAGTGCAATTTAACAAAATTCATTATTTAATAAAGCAAAATTTTATTTATATTTCACAAGTCACGGTAGTCACATAGTGACTCCAAGGTTACTAGTTTTTACTAATAAATTATTGAAAGAAAAATTTATTTTATAAATTTCATATTTATAAGCTCTAAAAAATTATAAATTATTTTTTTGATATAATTTATTACTCAAGAAAAATAAAAAATTGTCAATTTCAATGTCATTATATTATAAAAATTAAGTTGGTCGACTTGTAAAAATTTTTTTATTGAAAAAAATTATTACAGAACAATACAAATAAAATTTTATTTGTAAAAAACGTTAATTACAATTTTTTTCTAAATCCAATTTAATAAATAAAAAAAAATGTTGACTAACTTTAGTCTTATTATTTTTAGAATAAAATAAAAAAATTGGGCAGGTGTCTGCTGATTTTAGTTTTATTAATTTTTAATAAATAAATTTTAATTCTTCAACAGCAGAATGGAAAGCATGTCATCTGGACGACCAGACAAATCATCAAGCTCGGCTAGAAGACACCGTAAGCGAGCGAACAAGAAAAGCCATGTCACAAAGGTCGACAATTGGTGCAGCGAGACCCCAACGGAGATCAGCGAGCCTATGATCAATCCGGGAGTTGATTACGCGACGATGTTTTGGCAGCAACCAGCAGCAACGGTTGCTCCGCATGTCGCACCAATGCGCAACGGCCAGAGACTCTTTACGACGATGTCTGACCCCAGTGTTTGTGGCTACTCGACGCTGCCCGTCGCTTACGCGATGGAGCCGGTCTCGATGCCGCCAATCTACCCGCTGTACAGGCCAGTTCCGCAGACCAACTACCGACCACCCAGAGGAAGGCCCAGGAGAAACATTCCCCAGCATCAAGGTCATTCACAGTCTCACCAGGGTATCAGTAACATCAGTAGCGTGAATAACGTCGCCAATGGGTACTCGAGTCTCCAGGAAAACAGGACCGGCTACTCGACTTTATATCAGAATGGAGACTACACTTCACTGCCTCCGTCTGCGAACAATCACATTGTTGCTGAGAGTGATGACTTGAATTCCGAGCACAGGAGGTACTCAGACCCTGGGCTAGGTCCTACTGATCTGCCGCCGTATACTGACAGCGAAGACTCGGACTCTGGTGGTAGTTCCAGTTCTGTTACGACTGTGGAGAAAAATAAACTTGTTTTGTCTTTGGTTGAGCAGGTAATTTTTTTTTTAAATACTACAATAATGGATATTTGTTTTGAAACTTTAGAAAAAAGAAATAATAAGGCATTTGAATATACTCCATCTCTAGATACTTAATTAAGAAATGACCTTGTATCTTGTGAACTATTGACATTTTTAAAGATCGAAGCTCATCTTGATATTACACTCATCGAGACCTTTCATTCGAGTACCCACATCAATTTTTTATATATTTCATATATTTATATATATTATAAATATGTATATATGAAAAATATATGAAAAATGCATGTGGGTATTTAAATGAAAGCTCTTGATGAGTGTAACATCGGAATGAGCTTATATCTTAAAAAATGTCAATAATTAAAAAATTACCTTGTATCTTGTAATCTATTGACATTTTTAAAGATATAAGCTCATCTCGATGTTACACTCATCGAGACCTTTCATTTGAGTACCCACATCAATTTTTCATATATTTATTTATATTATATATATGTATATATGAAAAATATATCAAAAATGTAAGTGGGTACTCAAATGAAAGCTCTTGATGAGTGTAACATAAAAATAAGCTTATATCTTAAAAAATTTCAATAATTAAAAAATGACCTTGTATCTTGTCAACTAATGATATTTTTTAAGATATAAGCTCATCTTGACATTACACTCATCGAGACCTTTCATTTGAGTACCCACATCAATTTCTCATATATTTTATATATTTATATATATTATAAATATATATTTATATATATGAAAAATATATCATAATGCATGAAGGTACTCAAATGAAAGCTCTTGATGTGTGTAACATCAGGATCGGCTTATATCTTAAAAAAAAGCAATAGTTAAAGAATTACAGTACAATTTAACAAAGTTCATTATTTAATAAAGCAAAATTGTATTTATTTATGTTCACAAGTCACGGCAGTCACATAGTGACTACAAGGTTGCTAGTAACAATAGTTTTTCATGTTCTATGAATATTATAATTGTAATTACAATTCTTCTTCTCTAATTCTCTATTTCAATGCTTATTATTTTTTTTTATAATTTCATATCTTATGTCACACTTTTTTAATTGTAAACGTATAATACATGACAATAGAACAACTAAATTCAATAATTAAACTCATTTCATGGTAAATTATCTTCACAGGTCAAGCATAATACCTTATTATAGTACTTAAGTCTAATAATAAAACCTCAGTACTAATTATAAATAAATATTTTAATATTTATTTCCATTGAATTATAGAAATTTACAAATACTCTATTTCTAACTGCAAAATTATTAAAAAAAAAAAACGTACTTAAAAAAAATATTTAAATAATTGTTGATATTTACAGATGACTACACTACGAGAAGCAAATAGCCAGATGTTTGAACAACTTAACGAAACAAAACTGGCATTAGAAAACGTGACTACGGAATTAGCCGAAATAAAACAAAACTCTTCTTCAGACTATCAGCCAGGAATGTTATCAGGTACTTATAATAATTACTCATTACATATTCAACTAAATAATAAATATTTATTTTATTATTTGTCTATTTAGAATAGAAGCTCAGGGTAAATTATAAATATTTATTTTTTAGAAATTATTAGCGAGATTCGACAAGCAAATAAGGCGCTAGATGAAACAATTGATGCGAGAATAAAGTTGATAGTTGAAGAGAAAACCCGACAAAAACTACTAGAGCTTGACGACCTCAAGGTAAGATCAAATTATACTCATTAAAACCGTCACGACTCGGCTCGGGCTCCAACTATTCATTCTTCACATAATACCAAGTCTGCTGTACTTTTTTTCTTTCCTGATTATTATTACCCTTCACGAATAATACTATCCACCGCAGCCGAGAAATCCGATCCTCACATCTTCCTGCTTGATACCTGGAGACCAATACCCAGCGGAGGCTTTAAAAAATGTAAATAAACCTCAATCGGGAAATGTGATGTGGGAAAAGACGGAAAAGGATCAAGAGGCTAATATTAATATTTTTTTAAAAGTTTCCACGCGAGTCCATTAACCATAAAACCTAAGACAAGAGTTGTAAAGCTCACTATCTCGCAGCTTGCCTCTCCAAGCTTGGTCATCCATCTGATGTTTGCTCTTGGTTCGTGTGCTCTGTTTGATCAAGACCACGCCAGGTGATATATTTCTCTGGCGAGTTCTTTGTTGATTATCGTAGACATGCAAATTTTACGTAACAACTATTATATTTTTTTTTTTTTAAATTCATTACAAAATTATTTATTATTATTATATAAGAGAATAACTGAAATTTTGTGGCCAGTTTATTTGTATGATAAAATGGGTTTTTATGGTTTCATATAATTTTCACCAATAGTCAATTTATTATAAGTATTTAGGCTGTAATGACCTTGTATCTCGTGAACTATTGACATTTTTATAGAAATAAGCTCATCCCGATGTTACACTTATTGAGACCTTTCATTTGAGTACCCACATCAATTTTTCATATATTTTATATATTTATATATATGAATATATGAAAAATATATCAAAATGCATGCGGGTACTCAAATGAAAGCTTTTGATGAGTGTAACATCGGAATGAGCTTATATCTTTAAAAATCTCAATAGTTAAGAAGGTACTGTGCCATTTAACAAAATTAAGAAATTCTTTTGATGAGTGTAACATCGGAATGAGCTTATATCTTTAAAAATCTCAATAGTTAAGAAGGTACTGTGCCATTTAACAAAATTAAGAAATTACTTTGTATCTTGTCAACTATTGACATTTTTAAAGATATAAGCTCATCCCGATGTTACACTTATTGAGACCTTTCATTTGAGTACCCACATCAATTTTTCATATATTTCATATATTTATATACATGAATATATGAAAAATATATCAAAATGCATGCGGGTACTCAAATGAAAGCTTTTGATGAGTGTAACATCGGAATGAGCTTATATCTTTAAAAATGTCAATATTTAATAAAGTACAATTTAACAAAATTCATTATTTAATAAAAAAAAATTTTATTTATTTAAAGTTTACAAATCACGGCAGTCACATAGTAACTGCAAGGCTGCTAGTTTAGTTTATATAATTACTATAATTATTTTTTATTTTAAATTCAAGATTTTTTCAAGCGAATACAAATAAAATTCATTTAAAGTTTTAAATTAATATTTTAGGTGTAATTTTATACATTTTTTTTTTTCACTTGTACGTATAAAAAATTAATTACACACAACAAAGTATATAAAATAATAATTAGAAATAATGAAGGTAAAAATATTATTTGCCGACTAGCAAAGAGTTTGCATAGAAATTAGTTAGCTCGCTGTAAATTATCGTGCGCTGCATCCTTGATGAATTTCACAAGAGTTATATCTGGCTTCAGAAATACTAGATATATATGTATATATATTCTTATCTTCCGTGCAAAGCATCTTCTGCATATAAATGTTCCGACGTTTAAAAACTTAGATACCACTCTACTCAAGAGATTCCTCGTCTTACGGAGGCGTAAAATGTGCGTGTGCTTGATAATTAATTCCTCGAGTTTAGAGTTCTAGGTAGGATTCACAAGGCATGCTGCGAACTTCCGAGGATTCATCTTTTAGTACGTCCTATGTTAGCACAATATATTATTATTTATAATATTAATATATTAAATATACGACTTGTTTTTCATAATATACTACAATGTTCATAATATTCTACGTCGCAGTTTATTGCGACATCGGTATATCAACTCTTTCATCATCGATCAAACATCAAACAATAAATACGTCTTAGAAATGAAATGACAATGACTGATGACAAAATATTGTCTTTATTTATAACAATTGCACTATACATTTTTTATACACTAAAAGAAATAATTTATTTAAAAAAAATTATCAATGTTGCAATAAAAATTTTATTTATTCAAAATTTTTAATTATTTTATTTTTTTGCTGAAGAAATAAAATTTTTATTTTTTTTCCAAATAAAAAAAATTTTTTTTTTCAATAAAAAAGACAAGAAAAATTTTGATAAATATTTACAAATGTCAACGATTTTAATTTTTATTTTTTTTTGGCAAAAATTCTATTTAATTTTGATATATTTTTTCTTGAAAAATTTATAAAAAAAATGAACAATTTAAAAAAAATTGAATATCATAATTTTGATAAATCTTACAAATTTTCAAAAAAATTAATAGATTTTTTAGAAAATTGTGATATTCAACTTTTTTTTTTAAATTGTTCGTTTTATTTTGTACTTTTCAAAAAAAAAAAAAGATAAAATAGGAATTTTATCTAAAAACATGAGAGCCAAAATTTTTTCCAACTTTTGAAGGCAAAAAAAGCTATCAAAATCTTTATTTTTTTCTTTCATGACATTTTTTATTATAAATGCGCCTTAAAAACAAGTAGAATAAAAAAAAAGTTAAAAAATGTTAATTTTTTACCTAGTTATGGCTCAAAATAGGGTAAATAATTACCAGAAATTTTTCTAAAGTTGGAAAAAAAATATTGGATAAAAATTCTTAAATTTTTAATATCAAATAATTTTTTTTCATCAAAAAAGTTGTAAAAAAAAATTTTTATTTCTTTAATTCAAAAATAAAATTATTAAAAATTGCCAAATAAATTTTTATTGTAATAAAAATGGGAATTATTTTAAAAAATAAATTTTTTCTCAGTTTAACGAAGCCTGTAATATAAAATTTCGTAAGTCAAATAGCAACTGGCGTTCAATTGACTGGAGATGACTGTATTATTGATGGATTAAAAAGCCGTGCATAAGTGATCTGATTACGTCTTAGGGGCGTCGGCCAACCCTAATGTAATATAATGGCATACATACCACTGAGGTAGACTAGATTGTAATGTACGTGTACACATAGGAAGTAACGGTGGTTTTAAAAGTTATTGGGTTTCACGTGGGGTGATGCGTGCACGCGATTACTGATACCGATGAAAAAAGACGGAGATCCAGGCGAAGTCAAAGGTTTCTCGTCGCGCAAACGAGATAGAGGATAGAGAATAGAGCAGAGGCACTTAGCGACTGTCAGAGCCTCTCCCTCGACCTCTTTCCACTCGGTCTTCTCGGGTTTCAACCTTCCATTAGCCTCATCAACCGTAGCGTAGCAATGGCCGACCAGTATCCGCCATAAGCGCATAGACGTAATTTCCTAATTGAACCGCTGGATGATGTTCCATGCTATGGCGGCTAAAATGTCCGTAAGAGTTATTTTTTTACTCACTTATCCAGATAATTTTTTTTCTGCCGCCTCCTCCTGCTCCTCAGTCCTCCTTGACATCATCAGACACATGGGTGGATTTAATTGTTTTGTTTAATTACTTTTTTTAACGGGCAATTGATCTTAGGGACAACTGGCCCAAATGACTGAGCAAAAGGCCAAAGGAGATAGACGAATTGCCATCTTGGAGGAGGAGGTTGCTAGTCTTAAAATTAATGCTTCCAAGTAAGTATTTTTATTGTGTAATCGTTTTTTTTTTTTTTTTATATATATGGAGTATGCTCGCTGTAATTGTACAATGACTAATTTGTAATTATTTTATTTTATTTAATAAGGGGTGATGGGTAGTGACCTGATCTTTGGAGATTTGGACTTTTCATTATTTGTTCAAATTTTTTTTTAATCAGGATTTTTTTGACCAAATTATGTTTTTTTTTATTTCTCTGAATTGCGACGGCTTGTCAATTTTATATTGACATTCTCAGGCAACCTATGTGTATACAAAATAAAATTTTTTTTTAATTATGTCACGATTCTATACCCTAATTTTTTTTGGGGTAAGGTAAAAGACCCAGTTATTGACAATGGCTTAGTTGATTGACACTTGCAATTATATTATAATTAAAAAAATAAAATGTTCTCAAAAAACAAACTATCTTAAAATTTATAGCTCAATAATTATCTATATTATTAAAAAAAAAAAGAAATGACTTCATATCTTGTGAACTATTGACATTTTTAAAAATATAAGCTCATCCCGATATTACACTCATCGAGACCTTTCATTTGAGTACCCACATCAATTTTTTAAATATATATTATATATTTATATTTATATTATAAATATAGATTTATGAAAAATATGTCAAAAATACAAGTGGGTATACTCAATTGAAAGCTCTTAATGAGTGTAACGTCAAGATGAGGTTACATCTTTAAAAATATCAATAATTAAGAAATGACCTTGTATCTTGTCAACTAAAAATATTTTTGAAGATATAAGCTTATCCCAATGTTATACTCATCGAGACCTTTCATTTGAGTACCTACATCAATTTTTCATATATTTTATATATTTACATATATGTATATATGAAAAAATATCAAAAATGCATGTTGGTACTCAAATGAAAGCTCTTGATGAGTGTAACATCAAGATGAGCTTATATCTTTATAAATGTCAATAGTTAAGAAAGTACAGTAGAATTTAACAAAAGTCATTATTTAAAATAAAATTTCAAGTGTCAATAACTAGGTCTCCTACCTTAATATTGTTAATTTAAACATAAGCTATGAATAATAAATAATGAAAAATATAAATTTCCAAGATAACATAAATAATAAAGGTGGTTGGTGTACTTAATAAGCTAATAAATGTATAATGCTTGATAACATTGCTTTGGTAGCGTCGTGGGTCATGAGATCGCAGCCTTTGAGGAAGAAGCCCTGGCTCTTCGACGGGAGCTCCAGGAAGCGAGGGCAAAAAACGCCGAGAATCAAGAGGCTAAGTGCGTAGAAGCATCATCGATAGCGAGAGCTATCAAGCCTTTATCTTTCGAAACACCCTGTATAACCAGCACCCCCGTGCGTACCAACTTCCACGAGCCGAATAAGAGCTCAAGCTCCATTCCAGCCTCAGCCTCATCTTCTTCCTCGACTTCGACTGTCTCGTCCCCCTCACCTCTGTCCCCCTCCGACTCGTCGAGGAATCTGGACCAGATCGACCAAGACTGGCAGTGGAAGAAGTTCACTGATCCTGATACCGAGCCGCTCGCGGATCCAGCGCCGTTGACCGACGGAAAAACCAAAGAAAAAGAAAAATACTCTGATGGAAATAATTACTGGAAAAACAGAGGCTCTGACGCTTCCATGCGGCCTGATGAAAGAGAAGCCTTTGAGAGACTGCTCCACTTCCACTTTGAAAGAGACTCGGTTCCTGCGAATAATTTCCAACGTTCAGCAGTCGTCAGACGCAAGAGCGACGTCACGAATAATTTCAGAAAAGTGTCGCAGTTTTCCTGCTTCAGAGCCGCTTCTACCAATTCGCTTCCTCTGGAGGACAAAGAAGAGTCTGAAAGGTCAGATAAAAATCAAGAAAATGGTGTTGAGGTTCCGGACGTCGTGGTGGTTCCTGGAAAATCAGTGGTACCTAAAAATTTGTGCTCGACGAGAATCCCGAATTCCAGTGTCCTAAAAGCACCCTCACGCGCCACTTTTACCACCGCCTATATTTAGGTTACGTACGGGGCCACTCAGTATTCAATTCAATATTTATTGTGCCATCACAAACTGGGGCTTCATTGTTTGGGGTTTACTTCTGTACAAACTTCACGTAGGTCCATCATCTGCTCATTTTTCATTTCGCTTGCCTAACTAGTTACACGCTCGACAGCTTTTATAGTTATTGGTTTTATTTTCTAATTTGTATTTAATTAACAATTCTAGGTTAAATTACACGGAAAAATTTGAATTTAATTTTTATTTTAGGCTAGATAAAATTTTATTTGATTTTTTTAAAAGTCGGATCTAAGAATTTTTTATTTTTTTGTTTTATTCAATAATTACTTTTATTAAATTACACTGTAATTTTTTAACTATTGACCTTTTTAAAGATATAAGCTCATCCTGATGTTACACTCATCAAGAGCTTTCATTTGAGTACCCACATGCATTTTGATATATTTTTCATATATACATATATATAAATATATGAAATATATGAAAAATTGATGTGGGTACTCAAATGAAAGGTCTCGATAAGTGTAATGTCAGGATGAACTTATATCTTTAGAAATATCAATAGTTCACAAGATACTAGGCCATTTCTTAATTATTGACATTTTTTAATATATAAGCTCATCCCGATGTTACAATCTTCAAGAGCTTTCATTTAAGTACCCACTTGCATTTTTGATATATTTTTTATAAATATATATTTATAATATATATAAATATATAAAATATATGTGAAATATATGAAAAATTGATGTGGGTATTCAAATGAAAGGTTTCGATGAGTGTAACATCGGGATGAGCTTATATCTTCGAAAATGTCAATAGTTCACAAGATAAAAGGTAATTTCTTAATTATGTATCTAGAGATACAGAATTTTCGAATGCAGTTTAAATTAAATACATTTTTTTTAAATTAAAAAAATTAAATACAATAATTTTTCCGTGTATCTTCACTATCATCACTAATTTCATTAAATTAAATCTCTTTCTTCTAAAATATTTCCTCCATCAACCCTGTCTATAATCAATTCACCTCCTCACTAACATCTAAAACAAATTTAGAACCACGTACTCTCTTTTTTGTAATTTCTAGCCAGCAGCATGGCTTTGCTCTTAACTATTCGCTTAGCTTGCTTCTAAAGAAAATCTTACAAACGTTTCTTTCGACCGATTATTAGACGAGGATTAAGGGAAGAAAGAGAGGAAAAGAAGGTAACCGGAAACGTGATTTATCAGACTGGAGAAACTGGTGGCGGCAATGCGTAAAAAGGTGATCATTTCAACATCAGAGCATCACCATCAACATCTTGATCAGTCAGCAGACGTAAGCTCAGCTCAAAACAACGCTGCTGATAAAGATAACGATGACAACATAGACAATGATGATAGCGAGTCCGGGCATTCTATTTACAGCAACAACGACTCGACAATCAGCAGCAGCGTCAGCATCGGCGGCCCAGTTACAGATCTTTAGAATTAATAAAATATTTTCATACCGAATCGTTATTTTTTAAGAAAATCATCGACTTAATATTTTTTATTTATTTATAAATAATATTAATTAATAATAAGGAGCGCATTTATTTTTAAATTTATTTTTTAGACCAATGATTGCCTCAATCGCACGAAGGTAGTAGTTTTAATATCAATAGAGCCAAATAATTAATTAAATAATGTACATAAATTATCACTTTTTTTAAATAATGTATGATCTAATCAACCTGAATCAACTAAGCTAATTTCAATGATTATTTATTTATTTTTATTTAAATAATTATTAATAATATTAAGTAGTAATTGTAGAAATAATAATGTTAAAAATATTACCTCGTTATTTATCGTCACGAGTATTTGTTTTTATCACTCACTGATGAATACGCATCCGATAAGAATTATATAAAAAATCTTTATTATTTGATAAGCTGGATGCGTATATTATGATTCACTGTGAAATATTTTTTTAATAATTATTTTTCTATATAATTATTTTTAAATGGTAAATATTTACAAGTAGGTCAACCATTTTCATTCTCATTTTTTTGATATATTTTTTTTTTAAAATACATAAAAAAATAAACAATTTAAAAAAAAATTGATTGTCATAATTTTAACAAATATTCCAATTTTTTTCAAAAAAAAAATATATCAAAAAAAGATAAAATAAAAATATCCAAAAACATAAGAGCCAAAATTTTTTCCAACTTTTGAAGGCTAAAAAATTTATCGAAATCTTTAATTTTTTCTTTCACGACATTTTTAATCATAAATTCGTCGTAAAAACAAACAGAATAAAAAATTTGAAATGTTAATTCTTCACTCAGTTATGACCCAAAATAAATTTGACCCGACTTGTAAATAATTACCTTTTAAATTAAAGCTACGTTTTTTTTTTTATAAATTGTTAATCTAGAACTCGAAAAAAAAGAAATTATAAATATAAATATTCGACCTCAATAAACGTGTTAATTGCAGTAAGAATAAATAATACCAAGTGAGCTTATTTAAATGATAGCAATAATTTACACAATTTAAATAGACTTAAATGTGCTCAGCACACGACATTATTCAATATACGTAATACAATTATTGTAACATATTAAAAATTTTTATTAATCATTCGAGCTTTATTTAAATCGCGGCCTTTTTTAATAATTAAAAAATATTTGTAACAAAAAATTCAGCGCAATTTTTATTATAAATATAAAATATTTAATTGGTCAATTTGCTCACTAACAGATAGAGATTGAACGATAAAATAATTTGTTTGATAATAAATAAAAAAGTGCCATTATATAAATAAAAAAATATTCATTGATATATATAATATAATAGTACACATTTGTATAACTTTTAAAACATTTATCGAGTAAATATGATTAAACTCAGCACACGGCTTTAAAATAATAATTACCGAGTGAATTAAATTTTTAAAAATATTATTATTTTATTTACTAGCGAGTACTTAAGCTGTTGTCTTTTCTCTTTAATTTAGATTTGTAAATATTTAGCTCTTCTATTAATACTATATCAATAAATAAACAGAATTTTAATAAATATATACAAATAAAAATAGTTATGTTAATATTTATTAAAATCTGAAAATGTATACTTAATTATTTATATAGACAGAAAAATTTTTCGGTGAGTGTATAAATATAAAACACATAAATATTTTTTTAGTCGTTATCAATAAAGTGGATATCGCTATTACTTGAGTAGACAAAGTAAAGTGTTGTTCTTAAATATGGATCTTTGTTATTTTCTACTCTGTCTCCAATCTTTGTTCTTCTGAAAACTAAAACAAAAATCCAGGGTATAATTTATCAATAATTAATATTTGTAATTTGTAATTATTTATGACACTAAAATTTAAAGACATTTAATAATTTTTTTTTTAAATAAAAAAAAATAATTTTTAAGAGCTTTTAAAAATTATAAATTAAATTTTTTAAAATAATTTTTTACACCTTGTTAATTTTCAAGAAAAATTAAAAAATTATCAAGGGTCTGCTAATTTCAATGTCATAATTATGACTATATTTTTGTTTAGTATTTAATATTTAAAATTATTAATTGTATTAGAACACTTTATATTATTTATTAAAAATATGTCAATGCAATGTACCGGGGTTGACAGGCTGAGTAATAAATTTTTTTATATAATCTTAGCAGAATCTCAGACAATATATCCATGGGTTAAACATTTTATTTTATTTGGTTTTATTATATGATACTCGTAAGCTCGTGGAGAACCACTGAACTCCATGTTGACATAATCGACCCCACGTCGAGACTCTAGTGGTGCGTCGGACTCGATTCTAAGCTGTAGCTGGTTTTACCGGCTACAAGACTCGTCGACGTTTTGCACGTCCTATCTTATATACATTATCTAGAATATTTTTACACTGTTTATTTGAGCTTGTTGGAAATATATTTACGAGCGCTCGTTCAATAAACAAAATTATCATCAAATAACATTTTTTTCATTTTTTTAATGCACTGCAATATCTCTTTAATTTTTCAAATTAATTTTTTTAATGTTAGAAAATTACTTTTTAAATAAATACTAATTTTTTAAATTAAAAAAAAAATTTATCTACAATTTCAAAAATTAATTTATTTTTAATAATTAAATAATAATAAAAATTTTATTATTATTATTTTCTATTTATCTTCTTCATAATATTGCAAACAAAATAATAAAGAAATTGTTATTATTTAACTAAGATTTAAATAACAATGTACTGTTTCTTTCCTGAAGAAACTGACCCGACAAAAGTATTAATGCGAGAAAAGTATTAAAATTAAAGACGACCTTGAACCAACAGGCCCATTCAAGTAAACCATTAAGGAAAAAGGGTTAAACTAAAATAAAACCATTAAATCCTATTAATTTTAACTCGCTTACAATAGAATACTTCTCAGGTGTACTTAAAATCCTTTTATTTATTTTTTATTCCAAAATTACGCTATCAGGGATGAAGAATACTTAAAATTTCGTCTAGAATTCTGGGCTCAGGTTTTCCCCAGTAACAAGTTTTTAAAATCTTCTAAACTTTATGATCTTCTTGAGAGCTGGATCCCATGAAATGCTACATCACTTAAAACCGCAACCATGTACCTAATAGTTAAAAAGATATACAATTATTATTTATTATTAAGAAAAAAATATGATACTTTTAGCAGACAGCTTCCAGCGGCTCTCTTCACTCAAGAAAATTTTTATCGGGCATCATAAATCGATTATGAGTTTATGACAGCGGCATGCATTTTATTTCTTCTCATAAAAACATTTAAATTTTTTCTTTTTTTTCAACTTGTTCATTACCACTCAGGTAATTTAACGCCTTGTAAATATTTTTCCCTTTTCACACTGAAATATTAAATATTACACAGAAAATTTTTCTTCCTAATTATTTTCTTGAGCCAAGAATTTTGTTCTTCAGTCAAGAAATTTTTTTTTCTGTGTATTTAATGAAAATTAAGCTAACCGATATCTAAAAATTTTTATAATTTTTTTTTATAGAAAAAATTACTACAAAAAAATAAAAAAAAAATTGAAAAACTGTAAGTGCAATTTTAAAAAAATATTTTTCTGTTCTAATTTAATTATTGAAAAGAACTAAAAAATTAAAAACGTCGGCTTACTTTAGTATTATAAAAAATTCCATCTTTAGAAGCTTAATTTAAAAAAATTACAAATGCAATTATTTAAAATAATTTTCTAGGCTTAATTTATTATTCTAGAGGAATAAATAAATTATCAAGTGTTTGCTAATTTTAGTTTCATAAAAAAAGAAATAAATAAATATTGAAAAAAAATTAAAAACGTCGGCTAACTTTAGTATTATATTTAACACCATTATACTTTTTGTTTTAAATATTTAGAAAAAGCGTTTCAATTGAATTTAAAAATTCTTGATCAAATAAATTAAAAATTATTGAAAAAAATTTTTTTTTTAATTTATAATGATAAAATTGATATTTAAATTAAAAATCGAGATAATTAAATTTTGATAATAATGTTTGACGAAGCAATAAGTTAAAAATAATCAGATTTTAATTGAACGGTAATTTGCTCGGGAGTTGATTGCCAGTTTTACCAATTACATACATTAAGGGCAATACGTGTGCATATGTGTAATGTAAAACATGGATGAATAATTAAAGTTTAATTTATACCCGTACGTCTCATGCATCAGTGCGTTGCAGTCACATTTTCGACAGAATTATTATTTCACTCGTTTCCGGTTAAATTTTCATTGTGTCGCCGGGAGCACACTCCCAATCATTTATATACACATATATACAAGTACGATCAATATAAATATGAAGAATATATATGTAGCAGCTAGTAGACCGTGGGAGCACGCCCGGGGATATATTAATTGAAACGTGCCTTCGGGAATCCGGCGAGTCATCGCGAGCGAGGTGAAAATTATTAAAATTGACTCGGACGAGTACTCGAGTACTTTTTATATGATGCACTTCACGTGGGGTCTCGCTTATAACTTATTCCAACACGAGTAAGCTCCAAATCGCGGCTAATTTTTCACCCGATCCGCGGACTCATCCACCACCTGCTTTACACCTTTTTACTTTTTGTTTTAATAATTGTTCTATCGCATCCCTTGTAACTGTCAACCGATTAGATGATGATGATGATGATAATGATGATGATGTTGATGTCTTTTTTATAATTTATAATGATATTAAAGTTAATTTCATTATTTTTCTTTTTTTTTTTAAGACAAATTTCTTCCAAAAAATTCCTTTTTTATATTTCTACATCGGAATTTTTTTCGCTATAATTTTTTTGCTAAAAAAATGATCAAATATCTTTAATTTGATTTTAATTGAATGTCAATTTTTATTTCTAATTTTTTTAGCCATAATTTATTTGTGGAAAAATTCTTAAAATTATCAAAAATCTGCTAAATTAATTTATTATGACATAAACAAGTAAAAATTTGATGAATTTACATAAGTTTAAAAAAAAAAAACAAATTATAATTTTTAAAATATGCAGCTGAGAATTACTAAACACTTTTTCGGGCGTTTTAAAATATTTTTATAAACTGTTAGTATAAATAAAAATTTTCGAGGGTGGAAGAAATTTTATTTAATTTATTTAATTGATAAAATATCATTTTCGCATGATTTAATATTTTTATTAATTTAATCGTCCATAAATTGTGTAATATTTACATTGTGTCATATGATTTTTGCATTTGTATTTAATATTCATTTTATTCTGTAATTTTTTAATTTATTTGAATTAAAAATGATTTTATTTAATATTCACTTAAAAAATAATATAAAACTTTTTAAATTTAAATTAGAATTTTTAAATTTCGCGCTGCGCAATTTGAATTAGAAATTTTAAATTCCGCGCTGCGCGCGCCATTTTTTTGGCCAATAAAATCGCGGGCCCCATTTTGGATTTTTTAGTACCTGACTAACTTCGCAGCATCTGACTCAGCGGTTTTGAGTAAGAGAATGGTAGTTAGAAATTTTGCAATTTAATTAAATAAATTTTATTTTTGTAATTATTTTATAAAAAATCATCGGTTTTAGAGATCTAAACAAGAACTTTGACTTAAAATAAAGTAAAAACGTAACAATGACATCAAATATTTACGTCAAACAAAAGAAAGTCAACAAGAGTATGACCAGTACTGACAAGCAGAGTTCTAATCTCAAAAAATATCAGAGAAATGTAAAAGTGAGTCGAAAGTGACTAATTTTCATTTCTAAGTAAAGAGATGAAAAATAGTTTATTAAATATTTAATGATTTTTAGATTTTTTTTCACAAATAAATAAATTATGGCAAAAAAAATGAGAAAAAAAAATTGACAAGTTGAAATTTAAAAAATTAAAAAATGTTCCAATGATAGCTCACTTTAATGTCATGAAAAATTATTTTAGTAGATATTTAATCATTTTTAGATTTTTCGTTGACAAATAAATTATGGCAAAAATATAAAAAAAAAAAAATTGATTTATAGAAATTTTAAATGCAATTTTTTAAAAATAATTTTTTAGAATTTAATTGTTGAATAAAATTAAAAATTGATTAAGTGACAGCTATCTTTAATGATGAAAATAAAGTTAGCCGACATCTAAAAATTTTTATAATTTTTTTTATTAAAAAAATTATTACAAAAAAATTAAAAAAATTTTTTTTTCATTTGTATAAAACTTCAAAAACTATAAGTGCAATTTTTTAAAAATATTTTTTAGTTCCAATTTAATAAATTAAGCAAAATCAAAAATGTCGGCTAACTTTATTAATATTCTTTAATGTCATAAAAGTATTAAATAACTTAACTTTAATATCTTAGTAAAAGGTATTACTAATAATAATAATAATAATGATAATAATAATAATAATAACAATAGCTTATGCTTTTACAGATTCAAAATAATCTCTCGTCAATTTACTTCTGTCGAATAGTATCACCGGTGATTGTATTGTATTGTGTCCGCGTACACAAACAAAAGTTAGCGGGAAGCCTACCTATGATCTATCGAGTTTTACAAGTTTACAATGTTCGTTTGGTCGCTCGCCAGCCGACGTACATTAGTAATGTACTGAATACGCCAGAGTGAGAGGTGAGTCACTGGAATTTATAACCCCGTCTTATCTTAATGCCCCGAAAAATGCATGGGAAATAAAGGACCTAAATTAAAGCATAAAAATATAGTAAGCAGTCATGTCATCATTGTAAAAATATTTGTTTATACTTTGCTCCGTGAACTGGGAAAGATAGTGCTGCAATCTCGACTTTGTACCCAGTAAATAGAGAAGAATCATCGGGAAAGTCGGGGGAGGTCTTGCTCTATTATTTTAACGTTTGGCCGTCGCTTCTGAGCGATCTAGGGGACAGCTCATGAACGTGAGTAACAGTATCTGTGTCGAGGAAAGCGAGATAGCCGACCCCGGGGTTGCAAATCTGGGAAACGCTCTCCGAGGCACGCGTTCCAGGCTCTCATCCGTCTGCAGCCCGTCGAGCTTGATAAAGCACACTCCAATAATTGTTTTTTTTTTTTTTTCTGTATCCTCTCAAGTGTATCGATTTTTTGTCAAAGCTCATATCGTAAGAAAAATTTATTTCGCTGGTAAATTGTTTGTTTATAAATTGGCAGAAGATATTTTATCATTTTTTATTTTTTTTAACGAATAAATCTTCTGGAAAATTATAAAAAGAAATTCTTTACAATTTTTTCCGTGGGATTTTTTTTTCTTATAATTTTGTTATTAAAAAAAAAAAAAATTGGTAATTATTTACAAGTAGGGTTAATTATTTTCATTTTTTTTGAACGAAATTTTTATTTGATTTTGTTGATATATTTTTTTGAAAAAAATACATCAAAAAAATGATGAAAATTAATTTAGCTGACATCTAAAAAGTTTTAGAATTTTTTTTAATGAAAAAATCGTTACGGAAAAATAAAAAAAAATTTTCATTGGTTAGAAACTTGAAAAACTATAAGTACAATTTTTTAAAAATATTTTTTAGGTCTAATTTAATAAATAAAAAATAATTAAAAAATTAAAAACGTCGGCTAACTTTAGTATTATAAAAAAATGAACAATTTTTAAAAAAAGTTGATTATCACAATTTTATTTATTTATTATTTCATTTCAATGCCAAGGCAGTATAGCAAGATGGCAAAAGTATACAAAAAGAGTTATAATAAAGTACACGTAAGTCTAATGAAGATATAAAGTTTAGAAAAAATTAGATATCTATTAGTTTAGAAAATATTAGATATAAAAATTGATTATTTTTTATGAAATATTATTTTCTTAATTTGGAATATAAATTTGAGAAATAAAACAAAGAAAATAAATTTAAGGATAAAAAATTGAGTATTAAAAATTTAAAAAATTTAACAGTTTAACTCAGTGATAAAAAATATACAAATTATAGAAGATGATAATTTGAGATGATCTAGAACAATAAACTTATGTAAACAGAAATGTGAAAAAGAATATAAACGGTTTGAAAATTAGGATTCATTTTCTTCTTTAAAAGTTAGAAATTAAGGTTCATTTTCTCGTTCATGTTTCATGAAGAATTCAAAAGTACTGATTTTAAAAGAATTTAAGCTAAGTGAATTTGTGACTTCAAATGGTAAGTCCCTCCAAATTCGGATCGCAGAAACTACGAAGGAATGTTCAAAAGTAGTAGTTGAGAAATTGGGCATTTTAAAAGACACATTAATTTGTTTAGCAGTAATTCTTTCCGATCTTCTAATATCTGTAGATTCTTCAATGAAGAGACTTCTAAGGAACTTTGGTTCACCTGATTTCAGAAGCTTGTAGATGAAGCACGCTAACGAGTACATTCGTTTAGATTTAACCGTGAGCCAGTTTAATGAGTGCGTGTAGGGAGTGATATGTTCATCTCGTCTTAAATTAAAGATGAATCTGATGGTGTTGTTTATTAGACGTTGAAGTTTGTAGTCTAGCCTTTTGGATAAGTCAATCAAAACTAAGGAACAGTATTCAACAATTGGAATTATAGTAGTCATGACTAGTAGTTTACGTGTTGAAGTAGAGAGTATGTTTCTTCTGTGTTTTAGACAATTCAATGTACCATAAACTTTACGAGTGATGTGAGCTACATGGATATCCCAAGAGAGATTATTTGTAAGGTGTATGCCCAAATGTTTGGTTGAGTTTACATAAGGTATAATATTACCATCAATGATAATTTGAGGCAGATCCCAGTTGTTTAGATTTCTTAGTTTTTTATTGCTCCCAAGTATCATAACTTTAGTTTTACTAAAGTTTACTTCAAGACCAACTTCTTTTGCCCAGTCAACTACCGCATTTCCATCAGACATAAGTTTGTTTGCTGCATCATTCATTTGAGAATGCTTAAAATGAAGATAAGCATATTTGTCGTCGGCAAAGAGTCCATGCTTCGAGTATTGTAGCCGTTTAGTCACATCATTTATAACAATTAGAAACAGGATCGGTCCTAGGATAGATCCTTGAGGAACACCAGAGCTGGTATTGATGAAATTTGATGGAGAGTTGTCCAGTTTTAGCGTTTTAACCAATTTTACAAATTTTCAAAAAAAAATTATTAATTTTTTAGAAAATTGTGATGTTCAACTTTTGTTTGTTTTAATTGTTCGTTTTTTTTATGTACTTTTAAAAAAAAAATATATGAAAAACATCAGAAAAAGATAAAATAGAAATTTTATCCAAAAACACGAGAGCTAAAATTTTTTTCCATTCTTTGAAGGCAAAAAAGCTATCGAAATCTTTATTATTTTCTTTCACAACATTTTTTATCATAAATGCGTCGTAAAAAATTATTTGTAAATAATTAACTAATTTTCTTCATGCGGATTTTTTTTTTATAATTTACTTATTAAAAAAAAAATATAAAATATCTTTTAATTTCAAAATCTTGTAAATTTTTAATTTATTTTTGACACTTGTCTCTGCTGATATAATTTACCTATTTATTTGTCTAGCCACACTGTTTAATTTTTTTCATAGCCAGCATAACTATAGGGGCTTAAATACTTCAAACTAATACTCTAAAGATTTGAAATCTATCGACCCCTTAAAGTAAGCCTGCCCACTAAAATGGATTTTTATTTAATGACACTTTTGTCTGGATCTAGAAACATTTTTCTCTAAGATCTAGACAGATTGTAAAAGCTTATCTCTTGAGATCGCAATTATCCTAGAATTGCTACCTGTTCGGTTCTAACATCAGGGCGCGTGTCAAGACCAGGCCTTGGGTTTTTTTTTTCCGTCTGTCTGCTTACTTTTTGCACGTCAATAATAAACTGGACATTAGTAGCACAAGGTAATATAACTTGCTTCTGCTTAAGGTAGTTGTAGCGTGAAAGGCATTTCAACAGAAAGTTATGAAATTTTTTTTATCGAAAGATAAATATATTAATAATTCACTACCAAAATTTCAGATCAATTGACCGCACTGTTTTCGAGTAATTAATTTTCGAAATCGCATCTTTTAGACGTAGAGGTATAGAGAGATGGTAAAGTTAGTATGAAATCTTCCGTACCACTCGAGTGGGCCAAAGATTTCATACTAACTTTACCATCTCTCTATACCTCTACGTCTAAAAGATGCGATTTCGAAAATTAATTACTCAAAAACGGTGCGGTCAATTCATCAGAAATTTTGGTAGTGAATTATTAATATATTTATCTTTCGATAAAAAAAATTTCATAAATTTCTGTTTAAATGCCTTTCACGCTACAACTACCTTAAATAAGTTGATGAAATTTGTATATTTTTTATCTGTACTGAGAAAACTCAAATACTTTATATTTACGGGGATCAAAGTGTTGCTTGTTCACAAGTTTTGTTTTTTTCTTTTTGTGCTAAATAATTGTCCCTTTTTCACAGGTGATAAGTCGGTATATATATCGACAGTCCATAGGATTTTAGAATATGTAAATTTGAACATGTGTTTCAGTTTAAAGTTTTGTTAAAATAATCGTTTAGATCTTAAGCAGGTCGACTTAAAGTTTTAATCCGGTTTTAAATTTAAATCCCTTTAAAATTTGACAAAATACTTCCATCGGGAGTTTCCCAATTTTTTTTTCAATAATTTTTATTGGATGTTAAATTAAATTTTAATTACTTTTTGGCATTGCTAATTCTAAAAGGGCGGACAGGTAATTTTTGTAAGACCTTCGGGGTGTGTAGAACTAAAAGAGGGGCGGAAAAAAATTTTTTTTTCTTGAAAGCTTTCGGTAATTTTAAAAATAAAATATTTTTATTATAATTGTTCAACTTTTTGCTATAAAAATTAAAAATTTTCCATAGATAGTTTATTAAAAAATTAAGAAAATTATTTAACTTAATTTTTTTCAAGTATTAGTTAAAAAATTTTTTTTTCAAAAATATAAAATCAATTTTTATTAAAATAATTATTTTTCAAATTTTAACTCAATAAATAAATTCAAAATTTTATAATAATTGTTAAATTAATTAAAAATTTTTTTGGAACGAAGTTCCTTACGGCAGGCTTGGAGGGGATAGGGATTTTGCTGCGTGACCGAACTGAAAAAAATGTGTGGAATAAAACCGTTAAATGAGACGTGCGCAGGCGCGACAGTCGCATACACAGACGAGTAGTGTATAATACCTTTCTCTTTCTCCCTCTTTCTTATCGTTCTCTCATCCCTTCTCTTTCTATTACCACTCCACCCCGCCAATGCATAGTATATACACGGAGAGAATTTTATGGTAAATACTATCATCCAGTGTGGCCAGAACGTGCTCTTTTCTTACCCCCACTTTGTAGGCCACTCTCATCTGACTACATTGAAAAGCGGTACAAAGTGGGGGTAAAAAAATCGCACGATCTGGCCACACTGCTATATCATACTTAAATAAAAACTAATCAGCAAAATTTAAGAGAAAAATCAAGAAAATCTACATAAAATTGAGCACGATTTTTTTTGCAATTTAATGTGCCGATTCTACATTAGCCGAAGGAACTTCGTTCCTACCTGGTGTCCCACGACACCACATCATTTTTTTTTTATTACTTTAAAAGATTTTCAATAAAAATTAAAATTTTCCAAATTTTTATTATTAGTATTATTAATTTAATATAATTAATTAATTAATTTAATTATTATAATTATTAAATTATTAAAATTATTAAATTAAATAAATTTTTTTTTTTATTATTTTAAAAGATTTTTAATAAAAATAAAAATTTTCCAAATTTTGACCTTTAAAATAAACTAAACTTATAAATAAAAATCTGAAAGAAAAATTAGAAACAATCTTGTAATACATCTGGTACTTTTGGTATATCACCAGTATACACCTCATATGTAAATAAACTTCCATCCAATCGGATTAATTTTATCAGATGCAATTTGAGGATAAATAAAAGAATATTTAAGCGGTAAACATTAAGGAAAGACACGTGTCTTGTCAGTAAATCGTCAATCTGTTAATATTTTTGTTTGTTTATTTATTATGTATTATGTATTATGTACATGTACAATAATAATACATAATACACGCGGTGGAAGTGGAGGATTGTATCAATCTTAACGATTAACTAGCAATTTATTATTTACAGTAGATTACAGAGTTATATCAATTTATACATCTTTTTTTAGCTACAGGTCTTCGGCAATTGTTTGCTGATTGTCTGATTATTTTAGATACATATTTGATAATAAAATAAGGTGTCGAGACTGCGGCAAGGTGTATGACAGCGACACGATTATGTTGTGACTGCCCAAGTAAAGACTACTCCAAACATTTCTTCTATTTTATTCATAATAAAAGCATACATGGATACATAAAAATATAATAAAGCCTCGGATAGAGTAGAGAGGAGCTAGAGAAGCTACTAAATAATCCTCGGGGTTTTAAATATTATTTTATATATAGTAAATGTGTATGTAGAAAAAATAATATACCTGGTGCCCACATGGGTGGCCCGAGGTTCGCCACTTCGTATATATTAACACCGATGATAACTCGGCATACATAAAAGACTAAGGTTTATTTTAATATTGAATTGTTAGTTGTAGTTGGGAAAAGAAAAAAAAAGTTGAATAAAAAATAATAGAGGAGAATAAAAGTACTATACAGTTTATAAGTATCTAAGAGTAGTATAGGAGGGAAAAACAAAGAGAAGAAATATAGTTGTAGTATATATATTTGAGTCAAGCACCGCCGAGCGGAAAAGTATTTAATTAGTGGATTTTGTTTTATTTTTTATTGTCTTTTATTATGTTTTTATCTGTTTTATTTTTCAATTGGTGATATCAAACAATAAACGGCCCCATAAAATTTTAACGAAAAAAAAAACTCTCTGACACGCTTGACACCAAAACTGAGTAGAGAGAATATTTAAATAAAATAAGTAATTGTGGGAAAAAAAATGTTTTAATATTTATGAAAAATAAATATGAATTTTTTGTATTGGAAAAAGAATAAACGTGACCTACTGAGAGTAAATTCACCTGATTTGTTAAAATTAAAAATCTAGACTTTTGGCGTTAAATACACATTTTTTTAGTCGAGAGTGTGACTTAGGCTAAATAAAGAAACACGAGGTTTAAAACAACAAAATCACCATATATTTATTTTTAGACGAGCGAAAACTCGACGGGTTATATATATATATATATATATATATATAAGCACTCTATCACGACAGGTACCTCGTATCTTTCTGTATTTTCACTGGTATGCTTTTTGAGAACAGCCTTTCTGACAAGTGAGGTGTCGAGATGTTTTTATAGGGCACGTCAGCTTTAAATTATTTAGCAATTCTCGTACATATCGTACATGTGACATATTCTCAAGGATGAATCTCTATTATTCATTTTCCTTTAAATATTTTCTTTCCTTAATCCCCGGTTATTTTTTCATAAAATATTTTACATTACAATCGATTGCTTTCTATAAATTCTAGTCATAAAAGAAGTCTCAATTTTTTTTTAAATATGTTTTTGGGATTTTGAATTTGAACAGAATTTTATTTATAAATTTTTGTAATAAAAAATTAAATTCAAAATTTCTTATTTTAAAAAAATTAATTAAAAATTTTGTTATCAAATATTTAATTACTAAATTTTTATACTAAAAAAATAGACTTGTAAATTTTTAAAATTAAATTTTAAGCTTAATTTATTTAAAAAAAAAAAAATTATAAAATTAAATTAAAATGAATTGTTTTTGAATGAATGAATTCAAAACATTTAAAATATCTCATAACTAATTTATCAAACTGAAATTCGGATCTTTTTGGCAGAGTTAATACCAGAGCTTCGGGTGATAATTTTGTAGATGGTAGATTCATTTCCGGGCTTCTCGGTTTTACGGCATGTCCGGTTTCACCGTTTGCTCGGTTCAATTACCTCGCGTTATATATATCGGCTCTAGGTTTAAATAAAAAAAGATAAAAAGGTATGCGTCATATAGGTGGTATTTGCAGTAGCTTTTTCATTGTACTCCCCACCATACCAGCGTACACCTATCCACACATTTTTTAAATTGCCTCAACTCTTTTTTTTTTTTTTTCTCTATTCTCTGTTATTTTGTTTGTTCTCTCTATAAAATACTCGAGCCTTGTTTTATAAATATTTGTAACACCGCTCAAAAATAAAGTAATGCAAAAAGAAATATTTACAATAGAGTAACCGTGAGATTACAATCTAACGTAAAATGTTAATAACCGCATTTACTTACATTAATACTTTCATATGTATGTATGTAGTGTATAAGCCGAAGAGCTAAGAATTTATTGAGTATGACAAGCTGGTAAATATTTTAAGAAAGCATTGACGAATTATAAATATATATACGTTTAATGGTATTATAATTTGTGTGTCTATAGTATTTGTACGGATATGTGTACATGTATATGTATACATTCTACAATAATCTGTAATGTGTATTAGAATTGGCATCAGCACGGTGGCAAACTACGGATAACTTGTATGAGTGTTTGTTCAAGTATATACTATTTGAGAGCATCTAGAGTGTCGGTAAACAATTGATTATTTACAGATAAAGATCTAGTCGATTTAAACATTTGTTCTAATATTAACAATCCTCATTAAATATATATTTATATATATAATTTAATTTATCCTGTTTTACCTTTAATTAATCAGTGTTTATTATTTTTTTTTCTAAAATTTACCAAAGTTTGTTTAAATATTATCAAACAATTTCACTTTTCATTTTTAACTGACATTTAAATTTAAAAAAAATTTAATTTTTTTTTTTTTATTTTTACAAAGAAAAAAATAAATTCTTACTATTTTTAATAATTCTGACATTGAAATTTTTAAAAATATTATTCTTAGTAATTATTATTATTATTTAGAAACAAAAAAATTTTTTTAAAGAAAGAAAATTATTAAAAAAAACAATAATTAAATTTCTATTGATTTCAATATAAACAGAAAACAATAAATAATTAAATAATATTACTGATATTAAAATTATAAAAAAATTAATTCAAATTCTCAAAACTTTCCTATTAGCATAATTACCCAAGACCTTTACACAATAACTTTCTTATCAACGAACAAAATAACATAAAGACAAACTAGAACCTTCAATAAAATATGAAAAATAATTTAGCATATTTAATAATTTCAAGAATTTCATAACAAATAAATTATGGCAAAAAAAAAGTTAGAAAAAAAAATTGAAATGCAATTTTTTAAAAATAATTTTTTTGTTAAATAATATTAAAAAATTGGCAAGTGACTGTTAACTTTAATATCATCCATAAAATTCCAACTGCACCACAAACTTAGCTTAAAATATTTATATTATTTATTATTTTATCCATAAATATATTACATATTAGCTAATATGACTGCAAGTAATATAAATAAATAATCAAGGGCACTGACCTTTTTATTTTTATTTATTATCAGGTATCTTATTGAGTGTAATCTCCTCGACGGCCGATGAGTGTCGATGCACGATACTTCTGTGAAATAATAATCCGTGTGTACAATAATCTCCAAGGAATGCAATTAAAAATAAAAATTAAAACTTGCCTTGCCTGAGTCTCTGCTTGCTGTCAATTTCTGGTGAGTAAAATTCATAAATTATTAATAATACCAAAGTTAGCCGACATTTTCAATTATTTTTTATTAATTAAATAACAACTAAAAAATATTTAAAAAAAATTGCACTGATAGTTTTTCAAGTTTTTTATTTTCATGTTTTTGTAATAATTTTTCAAAAAAAAAAAAATTTAGATGTCGGCTAACTTAATTTTCATAAATTATTATTTTAATAATAAAAAAAATTACACTTGCAAAACTAAACTCGCGTTAGAAAAAAAAAAAAAAAAAACATTGAATAGAATAATAAAAACCAAAACATGTAATTATTACTGATAGTTTTGATAGTTGACATTTGAAATAGCAGCACAGAGTTGAGGTTGGTTGTCACGAGTCACCAGTATAGTACAGCGATGAGAGACGGCGTCCCGCGAAAATTACGCAAGCAAGCGCGTTAGTCGGCAGTCCATTCGCGAGGGTCTTCCGCGGATTCGCGTGTTGCGCGCGCAGTTTCCCGGTTGCGAGGCGTGACATCTCCAAGCCTGGCACTTCCTCGGCATCGACTGGCGCTCTTTAGGTCATACGGGAGACTCTTTCTTCTGATTGGCTCTCTGAGCACTCTGGGGTGTGTTTCCGAGTCAGCCGGAGCGCCCGGCTGGAGGGGAGTATTTGAACAAGACCCGGCAGCTCTTGAGCGCCAGAGTACACTCGCTTACCGGCATCCATCCACACTACACAGTGAGAGAGTGAGACGACAGCGAGCTCGACAAACACCACGGTGTTACGCAGTGTATTAGACATATACATATATATATATATATATACATACATATAGGCACACATACTTACATAGTTTGGTTTAGTTGTTGTTAGAACAACAATTACCCCTATCGCAGCGTCATCGAGTGCTGTGCAGACAAAATTGTTCGGTTCGGGGTTACCCAGACAGTTTATCGTTTGTTTTTCCCAGTTACGAGCCGTGAGTGCTTTTTATTTTATTAGTTGTGACTAATAATTGTTTTTTTCGACTTATTATAAAATTCATAACAAGTTTATGAAGAAAAAAAATTTTTTTTTCATGTTCAAGTGCGGTAATTTTATTCAGACTTGCAGTGAAAATGATTCCAGTGAAAAACATCACTAAAAAATAAAAAAAATTTACATTGATAAAAAAAAAAATTTTGTTAAAGACATTTAATTATTGTGAATATTTAAAAACTATTTTGAGTTTAAAAAAAAATTATTCAGGCTTAAATTACAGTCAAAAAATAAAAATAAAATTTTTTATTAATAAAAAAAAAAAAAAAAAGTAAATATTTGTTGAAGACATTTCATTATTTTTAATATTGAAAAACTTTATTTTTAGTGTAAAAAAAATTTATTTAGACTTAAATTACAGTGAAAATGATTTTTCTAATGAAAAACATTACTAAAAAATTAAAATAAAAATTTATATTAATAAAAAAAAATTTGTTAAAGACATTTAATTATTTTGAATACTTTAAAAACTTTATTTTTTATTTTTTTTCATGTCCAAGTGCGATAATTTTATTCAGACTTGAATTACAGTGAAAAATGATTATTCTAGTGAAAAATCTCACTAAATAAAAAAAGAAAAAATTAAAGTATTTATTAACTAATAATAAAATAAAATAAATATTTATTGAAGACATTTAATTATATTTAGTGTAAAAAAAATAGACAAAAAAATCTAACCTAAAATTAAAGGAGCAGTGGAGTGTAAAAAGTGACCGATGGTGTAGCTTAAAAATCACCCCCTTAATTGTCACCTAAAAAGTTATCTCTATGACAATGCTTCAGTCGCAAAAACTGTACAGCGAGGCCGGGGGCCTCGGAAACGCCATGACAAGCGCTACCATGTCAAGCATGGGGAGCATGGCGCCAACGTACAGTTCTATAAACTCAATGGGTTGCGTGTCTATGGGCATGACCATGGGAGTGGGCCCTAGCTGCAGTCCCCAGGGCGCCAGCGGGTTCAACATGAGCACGATGAGTCCCATGGGAATGGCCTCAATGGGCGGCGGCGGAATGGGAGGCTACGGAAGCGCCGCAATGGGCGGCGGAGGCGCCTGTATGACTCCCGTCGGCTACGTCGGCGGAACTCCGTCTTCCCGAGACCCGCTCTCGCTCGCCGAGCCAGACTCTCCGAACTCCGCGCTCCAACGGGCGAGAAATGACAAGTCCTACCGGAGGAATTACACCCACGCGAAGCCGCCGTACTCCTACATCAGCCTCATCACCATGGCGATACAAAATGCACCCTCAAAGATGCTTACTCTCGCAGAAATCTATCAGTTTATCATGGACCTCTTTCCGTTCTACAGAACGAACCAGCAGCGCTGGCAAAATTCTATTAGGCATTCGCTGAGCTTCAATGATTGCTTTGTAAAGGTTGCTAGAACTCCCGACAAGCCTGGCAAGGGTTCCTTCTGGACCCTGCACCCAGAGAGCGGAAATATGTTTGAGAATGGCTGCTACTTGCGTCGGCAGAAGCGGTTCAAGGATGAGAAGAAGGAGCAAGCTCGCCAGACCACCAAACACCCAGGACATCCTCATCATTCTTCAGGTGGACACACTAGTCCCTCTTCTCATGAACTTGGAGGACATCCAGGTAAAAAATCATCATCTCTGCATCACACAGTGACTCACCAACCTGATGATAAGGATCTCCATTCTTTGGTGTCTTCGCACCATCACCACGCGACGGGACTCCACCAACACCACGGCGGAGGAATTAAAAGCGACGCTAATGACATTGGTGGCTTGCTAGGTCCAGACTTAGGCGCTACTCATGATGAATTAGCAGCCATGGTCGGTCGTAGCCTTCATCCTCATCTTCTGAGCGACCCTTCGGCTCTCCACCACGGAATGGCCAGTAGCTTAAAGCAGGAGCCGCCTTATACTGCTGCGAACCACCCGTTCAGCATCACCAGGTTGCTTCCTCCTTCGGAACCCGCGACAACCTCGCCTGGGGCTCAGGATAGAAAGCACCCGGACTTGAAGATGTACGAGCAGCTTCACCAGAGCTACGCGAATTACGGCTCGCCGCATCATCATCCCCATTCTGGCCCTCCGACTCATCATCACCACAATGGTATGCATGGTGGCAACTCTGTTGCTACCATGCACAATATGTCCAATCATCATCAGGATTATTATCAGCCTCCGTTGTATCATCATGCGAGCAGTGTTTCTAGCAGCAGTGTACCTCCTAGTGTCTCTTCTTCAGCCGCCGGTGGGTTGTGACATCACGCCACCCATCCGTATGCCCTCGCCTGAGTCGCCGTCGCTGCGGCTCATCACGCCGACGAGATCTCCAGGTCTCAGATTGCTAGAGGACCTGAGAGGGTTCTGAGTCACAATCAGGCTCTTCAGCAACATAGCTGGCATGTTATTGCGGGTGTAGAGGACGATGACGAGGACGAGATGGAGCACGGAGGGTCTTACTCTGAAGACGTTTCGACTTAATTTTTTTAAATTTAAGGATATTGTATACTAATAAGGTTATTAGGTAATTTAAAATGTTTTTCACTTGGTAATTTAAACGCGACTGAGCAACTTGTCTAAGGTTGGTTTTTATGCTTGTGATTTATATTGTAATACTGGTATCGAGGACGGTTTTAGTACTGGTCGTTGTACTCTATTATTGGTGGAAGAATAGTTTATTTAATTATTTTTTTTTTGAAAAATTTCAAAGCTTGGAAATATTGTAAAAAAAAAATTTATAATTAATTATTAACAATCTGCTTGAAATTTGGTTTTTTAAATAAATAATAATTAATTAAATTTTTACAGAAAAAAAAAAATTAATTTGAATCAAGAAAAAAATTCTTGAATCAAGTAAAATTATTTTGAAGAATTTTATTGACTTGATTCATGTAAAATTTACTTAAACCAAGAAAAATTATTTAGTTTAAGAATTTTTTAATTCAAACCAAGAAAATTAAACTTTTCAAAATTATTTTGAAAATTAAATTTTTAAAAAGTATTTGTTTGATTCAAGTTAATTATTTTTTTTTGAAAAATTTCAAGTAAAATTTGGAATTATTGTAAAAAAAATTTATTATTAATTATTATGGGCACAATCTGCTTGAAATCTGGTTTTTCAAATAAAAAATAATTAATTAAATTTGTACTCAGAAAAAAAAATTAATTTGAATCAAGTAAAATTTACTTAAATCAAGAAAAATTTCTTAGTTTAAGAATTTTTTAATTTAAACTAAGAAAATTAAACTTTTGAAAATAATTATTGAAAATTAAATTTTTCAAAATTATTTGCTTGATTCAAATTAATTTTCTGTGTAATTGTGTAAAACTCGGAAAATTAATTCAATTTTAGATAATATTTGTATTCACAGTATACATTCATTTGAGTACTATAAAACTTGTCGTCGCTTGTGATACCGATATCTAATTTCGAGATTGCCCGAGATATCGCGAGAGGCTAGCGTTTTATGATATCTCGGTTTTATAAACTTACATAAAATTAATATAATTAAAATTACAATTAAAATTGTTTTTCATTGTAAAAACTATAAAACCGATTTAAGCTTAATAAAATTAATTTAGCCTCAACAGCTTACGAATTTACTTTCCGTCCGGATATTTGATTGCCTCGGAGTAAATAAAAAAAAAAATTAATAAATATTTATAAAAATTATAAATATGCTATCGGTGCTCGAAACTAAACGGCCAGTAAGGAAAAACGATTAGCGAAAATTGTGATATGCTCGCGAGAAAAATGAATAACAATTATAAAATATTATATTATATAAATATAAATGAAAATATTAAACGGTAAACGTAATAATTAAAAATACCAACGATTTATTTAAAAATAAAATTGTTCTCTCGAAAACACATGTCCAGTGTTTTTTTTTGTATGATAATGTAGATAGTCGCACAACGTAACGTGTATCATGTACATTATTATTGTATGTTAAAAAGAGTTCTATATAAATATATATAAATATAAATATAAAATATAAATATATAAATAGAACTATATAAATGAATATATTAATATTAAATAAATTTAAATATAAATTAAATTACAAGTATATTAGACGCAAATACCTAAGCATACGCATCTCGTGTCCTTGTGTACTACCGCGGTGTCGCGACTCTCGATCTCAATGTAAAAATAATTAATAAATTAATTAGTAAACTAAGTAAATAATGTTATTGATAATCGAGTGAAGGAGTCGTGCCGCTGCGTACTTTTATGTTGGTAAGAAAATAATAATTGTAAATATAATTAATAGTTGCATACCGACTAAGAGGCCATCGTCATTATCATTGTCACTTATTTTTACTTTTATTATTATTATAATTATTGATTATTATTATTTAGTATAATTTTTATTTTAAGTATTAATGTTTTGATTCTCCAATAGAATTTTCTGATAGTCTCCTTTAAGACCTTCCATTGCTAATAATTGTGTAATTAATTTAAATTTACGACGATTAACAATGCCACTAAGGAGATGTACATGTTTCAATAAATTTACGTATTTCTACGAACCAAGGTGATTTTATTATTGTTTATTTAATTAAAACTCAACCTTCTTGTAGTTTGTAGTTATATTTATTTTAATTAAGTATTAAATCCTTTAAATTATTTTAAATATACTTATAGGTGTTTATTAGATTTTTTTTTTGGTTGTGAGGAAAAAGTTTGAGTAGAACGAGAGCAGAGGAATGAAAGTTAACAAGTGAATGATCCTGGTACTATTTCCGTGAATTATTGGATATGATACACAGGTACACTGCTGAGAGCCACTACAAAGCTGTGTATTTCGCCAATATTTGACTAAATCATGAACAATGTTTGATTGTACACACTACAACTACACACTCGTCGATCGTGGACGTCATACGTGCAAGCGGGAGTTGCGCCGCGACGGAGCACCGTAGACGCTCATCCACTGCTAGCTATGAGAGCAAGCGTGCCAGCACCCTCACCCACGGACTTTCTGTTCTGCTATCGGGTCCTCTTCTGTTGTCACTATTGGACTTTACTTTTGGCTTCTGCGTTACTTTAGATATTTTTTTATTGATAAAAATTTTTTTTTTTATTGTTACTTTGGGTCTTTTTTTAGTGGCTTTTATCTTAAAAATTGATTTTTAATTTTCTTAAAAGGATTTTGGGAATATAATAGAAAATTCAATTTTTATAAATTAAAATTTAATTAATTTTTTATTTTTAAGAATTATTAATTTTTGAATGAAAAGTTTTAAGGCAGGAAATTAAAAATTAATTTGTTTTTATTACAAATAAAAAAAAAAATTCTAAAGAATTAACAATTTATAAGATAATTTTCACATTTTACATAAAAACAATTTTTTTTTTTTAATTATAAAAATAAATTCAAAATAAAAAAAATTAAAAGTCAATCTATTTAAATTAAAATAAATTTTTCTTTTTAAAAATTAATTTTTTTTCTAAATAATTATTTTTTAAAGAAAAATTTCCATGCATAAAATTAATTTTCAAATAAAAATCCACCAGATAATTTCAAAGTTTATAAAACAATTTTTTTAAAAATTCTAATAATTAATTAAAAATCAAAACTAAGCTCTAAAAAATTTCCAGCACTTAATTGAAAGACCATTTAAAGTTAGCATATTTTGTACTAACGATAAAGTCCAAATTTGCATAAGAATATTATAATTTATTCAAATAAGTAATTTATTCCATCTTCTAATTCATACATCAGGTAATATAATTGCACATAATCTCCATCGGCATGTTCTGTTCTTCTCAAAAGTATTGAGATATATATATTTGTTCTGATTCGCCGTCTCGTACGAAATACGTAATACATTCTATACTATTACACGTCTAGCTATACTAATATAATGTGTACCTTGTAAATTCAGAGGGACGACAAACTTGACGGACTTTAGTTAGCATTACTCAATGTTATATATATATATATATATAAATATATCCGAGATACAGACTACGTATTATATGAGGCACCATTCTAGGATATATGATATATATGATATAGGGAGCTCGTTTACATTGAATCGTGCTAGGCGTGGACCTTGGGTTTACTTAGGTGCGGCGAGAAATTGAAATTTTCGTTAAGGGATTACGTGGCGAGCGAGAGACAAAATATAAGGTCACGTCTGTTAATCGCGCTGTAATCCTCTCCTTAATGGGACTGTACTGTTAGTGTATGGTCCTAGTCTGCTCCTTCTCATCTCCCAGATCCAAAGATGTACACGTTCATCCAACAGACAAGTAATTTTGTGATGCTCCATACATATTTAGTCCGACTAATTTTTTTATTCCTTCTTATACATAATGTAATATAAATGAAGAAATGATACAAGTTTCTCAGCATCCTAGACCGGGACCAAACTCTTCCTCGAAGAGCGACTAGACTCTATATCTACTGAGAGCTCAGAGCTGATGTTTCAACATTTACAACAGAATGTCTCGCGGGCGTCTTAATAATTTACAGCTCTTCGCTAGTATATAGTGTCAGTTAAAGAACAAGAAATCCCGTTGAAATGTTGAGTTTACCTAAACTAAAAAGGTTGAGTGCTCCTTCTCTCTCTTCTCTCTTCAGACGACTCATTTTGACTTGCTGTACATTTAATTATTAAATTTTTAATATTTTTACATATCATTATAACTTTTACAGCACTATTCTTTCCTTAGTCTTTTTGTTCAACTCAGTAAGCACTAAATAGGACATTGTTTTTAAAAGATTTTTAGGTTTAAGCGGAATTATTTTAGTTTGGTGGTTTGCAAGTGTAATTTTAAATTAAAAAAGGTAGAGGAAATTATTTGAAAAAATTTTGTTTTGGAAACAATCAAGAAAATTAATGATTAATTAATTAATTACTTAGTTTTAATGTTAAGAATTTTTTTTTCAATTTATAAACATATTATAGAGCTCTTTTTATTTATAAAATACAAATTTTTCCATATTTGGTAATTAAATTTATTTGACTCAAAAATTTATTTTTATAATTCAAGAAAATCAAATTTTACAAAATTATCTTGAATAAATTTTTAGATGAAGATTTAAAGTTCTTCAATTTACTTTCTGAATTTCTACAAACTTATCAATAATCATCGAAAATATTATTGAAATTATCAAACATCTGAAAATTTTCATTATTACAACTAAATCTATATTATTAAGAGAATAAGCAAAATTTTATGGCCAGGAGTTGACCTGGAGTTGTGCCTTTTCATGGTTTCATATCATTCTCACCAAAAGTTC